TTTAAGCATGTTACATTTTAAAAGGTTACAATTTTACATGTTACATTTTTACATGTTACATTTTAATATGTTACATTTTAACACGTTACATTTAAGCATGTTACATTTTAAAATGTTACATTTTAACACGTTACATTTTAACATGTTACATTTTAACTTCTTATATTTCCACATGTTACATTTTTACATGTTACATTTTAACATGTTTTACGATCAAGTCATTCCCTTGCAACTGACCTGGTAGCCTCGTCTAGTATGAGGATGGATGGGATTTTCAGTAGAGCGCGGGCGATAGCTATCCTCTGTTTCTGGCCCCCAGACACGGTAACTTCTCTCTCCCCCAGAATGGTACTGTAGCCATCAGGGAACTGTCGGATAAAACTGTCAGCATTGGCCAGCCCAGCAGCCTCGTACACCTGTGACAAAGATTAATTAAATTAGTAATACCAAACTAGTGACAGGTAATACAAACAAAGTAACATAAAATCAAACCAGCTACCTTCTAATTACAAGGCGAGTACAGCAGTACTATAATCACTCAACCACCAAGCTGACATAAAAATCGTCAAGCTGACATAAAAACCATCGTCGTCGTCGTCGTCGTCGTCGTCGTCGTCGTCGTCGTCGTCGTCGTCGTCGTCGTCGTCGTCGTCGTCGTCGTCGTCGTCGTCGTCGTCGTCGTCGTCGTCGTCGTCGTCGTCGTCGTCGTCGTCGTCGTCGTCGTCGTCGTCGTCGTCGTCGTCGTCGTCGTCGTCGTCGTCGTCGTCGTCGTCGTCGTCGTCGTCGTCGTCGTCGTCGTCGTCGTCGTCGTCGTCGTCGTCGTCGTCGTCGTCGTCGTCGTCGTCGTCGTCGTCGTCGTCGTCGTCGTCGTCGTCGTCGTCGTCGTCGTCGTCGTCGTCGTCGTCGTCGTCGTCGTCGTCGTCGTCGTCGTCGTCGTCGTCGTCGTCGTCGTCGTCGTCGTCGTCGTCGTCGTCGTCGTCGTCGTCGTCGTCGTCGTCGTCGTCGTCGTCGTCGTCGTCGTCGTCGTCGTCGTCGTCGTCGTCGTCGTCGTCGTCGTCGTCGTCGTCGTCGTCGTCGTCGTCGTCGTCGTCGTCGTCGTCGTCGTCGTCGTCGTCGTCGTCGTCGTCGTCGTCGTCGTCGTCGTCGTCGTCGTCGTCGTCGTCGTCGTCGTCGTCGTCGTCGTCGTCGTCGTCGTCGTCGTCGTCGTCGTCGTCGTCGTCGTCGTCGTCCCTCTAGTAATTTCAGCAATAAAAAGTTTGGGAATTGATATGTAACATAATTTTATTATCCGTCGAATGTTTTCTCGATTTTCCAGAGTGAGCGGTATATAAATGATTAGGGTAACTTTAACCTATTTTCCACCACTTTTATTTTGTTATAACATATGTACACTTTTAGGTTACATGTACCTCAACTAATTTCAGCAATAAAAAGTTTGGGAATTGATAAGGAACATTATTTTATTACCCGTCGAAAGTTGAGTGAGTTCTACAGATTGAATGGTAAGTAAATGGTTAGGGGAACTTTAACCTATTTTCCACCACTTTTATTTTGTTACAACATATGTACACTTTTAGATTACATGTACCTCTACTAATTTCAGCAATAAAAAGTTTGGGAATTGATAAGGAACATAATTTTATTATCCGTCGAAAGTTGACTGGATTTTTCAGCGTACGCGGTATGGAAATGATTAGGTGAACTTTAACCGATTTTCCACCACTTTTATTTTCTTTTAACATATGTCCACTTTTAGGTTACATGTACCTCAACTAATTTCAGCAATAAAAAGTTTGGGAATTGATAAGGAACATTATTTTATTACCCGTCGAAAGTTGAGTGAGTTCTACAGATTGAATGGTAAGTAAATGGTTAGGGGAACTTTAACCTATTTTCCACCACTTTTATTTTTTTATAACATATGGACACGTTTAGATTACATGTAACTCAACTAATTTCAGCAATAAAAAGTTTGGGAATTGATAAGAAACATAATTTTATTACCCGTCGAAAGTTGACTGGATTTTTCAGCGTACGCGGTATGGAAATGGTTAGGAGAACTTTAACCTATTTTCCACCACTTTTATTGTCTTATCACATATGTCCACATTAAGGTTACATGTACTTTGACTAATTTCAACAATAAAACGTTTGGGAATTGATAAGGAACATAATTTTATTATCCGTCGAAGGTTGACTGGATTTTTCAGCGTACGCAGTATGAAAATAGTTAGGGTAACTTTAACCTATTTTCCACCACTTTTATTTTGTTATAACATATGTACACTTTTAGGTTACATGTACCTCAACTAATTTCAGCAATAAAAAGTTTGGGAATTGATATGTAACATAATTTTATTATCCGTTGAAAGTTGACTAGATTTTTCAGCGTACGTGGTATGGAAATGGTTAGGGCAACTTTAACCTATTTTCCACCAATTTTAATTTGTTATAACATATGTACACTTTTAGATTACATGTAACTCAACTAATTTCAGCAATAAAAAGTTTGGGAATTGATATGTAACATAATTTTATTATCCGTCGAAAGTTTTCTCGTTTTTCCAGAGTGAGCGGTATATAAATGATTAGGGTAACTTTAACCTATTTTCCACCACTTTTATTTTGTTATAACATATGTACACTTTTAGGTTACATGTACCTCAACTAATTTCAGCAATAAAAAGTTTGGGAATTGATAAGGAAGATTATTTTATTACCCGTCGAAAGTTGAGTGAGTTCTACAGATTGAATGGTAAGTAAATGGTTAGGGGAACTTTAACCTATTTTCCACCACTTTTATTTTGTTATAACATATGTACACTTTTAGGTTACATGTACCTAAACTAATTTCAGCAATAAAAAGTTTGGGTATTGATAAGGAACATAATTTCATAACCCGTCGAAAGTTGACTGGATTTTTCAGAGTACGCGGTATGGAAATGGTTAGGAGAACTTTAACCTATTTTTTCCACCACTTTTATTGTCTTATCACATATGTCCACCTTAAGGTTACATGTAATTTAACTAATTTCAGCAATAAAAAGTTTGGGAATTGTTAAGGAACATAATTGTATAACCCGTCGAAGGCTGACTGGATTTTTCAGCATAAGCGGTATGGAAGAGATTAGGGGAACTTTGACCTATTTTCCACCACTTTTTATTTTGTTATAACATACCGGTATGTACACTTTTAGGTTATAATTTACATATTTACAATTAAAGCTTACATATAGACCTACCTCTATATATATGTATATAATTAATGTATATAATTAATATAATTATAATATATAATAATATAGTGTATATTGAGATTTTGAAATAAAAAATTTATTTATACTGAGTTTTTATAGTTACTTTTATATTTCAAACAGTAGCTTTAGATAGAAACGAGTTTATACATTATTTAGGTAATATATGTATATTGCGATAAAAGTAAATAACTATATAATTTTCCACTAGTATACTTTGTCGTAATACATATATTATTTAAGTATATTCACTACTTAATAAATAAGTATAGCGAATTAGTTTTGGTTTGGAAATCTGTAAATTATCCGTAGTAGGTAGTTGCATATGCGAGGTCTCTTTTTTGAACATCGACTGTACTACTCTAAGCTAGGCGGTATCTGATTGGTCGAGAGGGAGAAGAGGGGAAGTCGTTGTGGGAGGGGAAAAAATGTAGGGTCGACAGCTGGCGATAGCTGTCTTCACGGTCGTCCTACGCCAGGGTAATGCAAAGCCTAGCCAAGGCCTAAGTTATTTAAATGTTAGTTAGTTAGCCTAGCCTACACATTTAATTGGCTTAAGGACCATATTTAGTCTACGACATAGACTTTTTTCCAAACAGATAATGGTTTACAGGCTATAGGTTTAAATGTGTCAACCTAAAGATTAGTAGGCCTTTATACAACTCACCCAAGGGTTTCTAATACAAAAGTTACACCGCTTGGTAACTTATTTTTAAGTGCCTTTTACCACACAGCCTAGACAGTTATATAATTATAAGATTTGTCCTTTTGCAATGTTTATGGGAAATGTCGGTACTGTAGTCCTAACTGTGTGACCCTACAGGGGTACAACAGTTTCTTAACTGGGCTACGCTAATATCGATTGGAACTATCAAATTGAAATCTTGATTAATAATCGATATCTTAAAATATAATGTCTATTATAAAATTAATCTGTCATAACCTAACCTAACTTGTTGATGGTGAAAAAATCGCAGTTTACTAATCGAATCGATAGTTTCAATCGTTATTAGTGTAGCCCAGTTAAGAAACTGTATCCTTGTTTTATTTGGACAACACTTGGAACAAAACACAACAAACACTTTTAAAGACTAGGCCTACAGTATAAAAACTAACTTTAACTTACAAGGGTGCACGGGGATGGCACGGTAGAACGCATAACAATAAACACTCTTTTATACATTATACACTTAAATCTTAAATCCGACTTCAAAACATATACGATACTTCGATAAAACCTCAAATTATTAAAAAAAAAAAAACACAGCTTAAAGACTTTGAAAACTACAATCGCTGGGGCACGGCAGGGGCAGAGAGATGATGACAGAACGACAGAACGAGAACAGTAAACAACTCTTTTGCTTCAATTGTGTGAGAGTCGTTCATTTGAGATCAGCTCAATTTTACGGTTTGCGCATGCGCAGTAGGCTAGTCCAATTCCTGCCCCGAAACGCTCGCAAGTAAAGTGCAGCCCTTCGAAGCTTCCTGGCGAAATATGTTTTATCTATTATTAACGAAGCCTCCGGAAAAAAATCAGTAACGAGACGAGAAATCAGCTGGAAACCATTTATCGTGTTTCAGATCCACCAGATCAGTGATCAGATCAGATTCAGTATCCGCCCAAATAAATACTGATAAATTTCAGTTTGTTTACTAACTCTCCTTTGCTTTAGTTCTTACATTTATTTTTGATTGCACAAGTCTTTATGTTTGAACGTTTTTAAAATTACTGGATATTATCTCCTTGATTCCTGTGATTTAATTCAATTCAAAGTCTAAGTTTAGTTAGTTTACGTGTAATGCAAACTTATAGGTTAAGTTTGTTTTCAAAATCCAAAATTGAGTTTTAATAAAAATTTTGGTTACAGTAAGGTTACCTATTTTTGAATGTAATATAATCCAAACAAAATAAATTATGGGACAGGTAAGTTATTTACTTTTATTTCTTGAGATTAAATTGCAGGTCAGATTAAATCATTTGATTTTAACTTATTTATTTTTAGCATAGTTTTGACGTTACCTAGGCCTATTGTGTTTTTTTTTTTCTGAATGGTATAATAAATCTCTTGTATCTCTTAAGTTACCTACATAGTTACAACAGTTAGTCTAAGTTACAACATAATAATAAATAACCTACATGAAGCTAAGTATGTCAACATGAAAAACATTGGCCTTTTAAACAGTTGGGTTAATTTAATTGTTGGTAATTATTTAGTATTTGTTCATTCAACTCAAATCAAGTTAATTCCGGTACTTTGGTACTATCCGGAGGCCACCCTTATACAGCGCGCTACGGCGGTTATGTTAGGTCGGGTTAAGTTATCATAAATATGTTTGTAACTTATACTTAAAATGAAATGAAATATTATTTACTTAAGTAGCCTAAGTTAAGACTTTCCTCGTTTTGTTATGAATTGAACGATGCCAGATGAGTCACCTACTTTTGCCCGCTAAATCCCCTCCAAGTAAGCGAAGGTCAGTTTGACCGGAATGCGGGCATCACCTGTCACTGCCTGTATCTGGATCCTAGGTCTGTGTCCTAAGTGATTTATTGTCGTGCACTAGGTTAGTTTTATCTCAATAATGAGTTATGTTCTTTTGACCGAAACAAGGAAAATCCTAAAACATATTTTTGATTAACCAACCTAACATAACCGCCGCAGCGCGCTATATAAGGGTGGCCTCCGTTTCAACTCAATCCTCTCCTACATAGCTGCCTTCTGGGAGGCAGAACTCAAAGGTCGTTAATCGTAATCATGTAAAATTTGGACAGTACCGTAAGTCAATAAAGTATGTTCTTTCCAATTATGTAGTTATTTTTGGTCTCCGGTAAAAAAAAACTCTCTAAAAAAAGTGGCCTCCAGATAATACTAAAGTAACTTACTTTTTAATTCCTTTTTTCAGACGAGTGTCAACACATTAAGCCTCTCCAATGATGAAGATGTCCTTGGAAATGATGAACATTGTTCCAAAGGAGCTCTAACAGGGATTTTTGGATGGCTTTTACAGTTCATTTTAGCAGCTCTTGCCTTTACCTGCCTTATCGGTAAGCCAAACACAAAACAACCTAAGCAATTTAACTAATATATGCCTACTGTTAGCAGTTGAAAGAGCTTCCTCTGAATTAAGTAGGCTAGAGATCCCAGTTATTGATACTAAAATCATTATTGTTCATGAACTACTTTTAGTTGTTAAGCTATTCCTTACATAATATAATGTAAAAATGGTACACACCATACAACAAATAAATAACTTAAACTACTAAGTATCAAAAACAATACAGTGACTTAACATATTGTTAAAATTAGTCTAACCATGGACTTTCAGGACTGGACCATTGGACACTTTGGACACACCGGTCATCCATTATCAGGCACAAAATAGAGATTGACAGAAGTTTAAAAGCGTTCAAAGAGCAGGAAATGGTTCTGAGTGCGAGTGACATTAGGTTTTGCTATTCATGTACAACTAACTGAAATTAAATGATCAAAGATTTATTAAAATTTTGTCATTGGTTTTTTCAATTTTGAAAACAGGCTCCCCAAAATATTTCAAATCCGATTTTAAATTTGTGTCTCAGGGTAGTTCACGAATGTCTCGTTATTCTTCGATTACATTGCGTATACCTCATCATGTGACCACAGCTTATGGCAGGGCTTTTGTTGTTACCGCTTGTCGTCTGTGGAACAGCCTACCTCTACACATTAAGACCCTTGAAAAACGTTCCCAGTTTGTGGCGGCACTGAAAAAGCTCTATTTTGAGAAGATGGTCTCGGCTGGCGTGTCCTAGGGCTACTGTTACCTTGCGCGTTTGCTGATGCGTGTATGCGAGAGTGTGTGAATGTGTTTTTCTATTTGTTAAATTTTTATGTTTTTTTTTAGATATGTAGGTACTTGAATTGTTGAATATTTTATGTTTAATTAGATTAAGTTATCCCTATGTTACATTATTTATGTTATATTTTTAATGTCAGGTTAAGTGTAAGAAAGGGCCATGTGGCCCTAACTTTGCCTGAAAAAATAAAGGATTTTTCATTTCATTTTTCATTTCATTTCATTTCATAACTCATGTGCAGTATTACGTTAACTAGGCCTATAACAACTTTTAGAATCGATGACACATAATTTCTTATTCATATGTTGTACATTACAACATTACAAACTAATTTATTCTTGCTGACAAACATTAACCTAATCCTAGTTTGGAATGAATCAAACAGAAATCAATTCAACTCTAATTTAAATAGTTTGTATCTCAAACCCTGTTGTTTACAAATATTGTCTTTGCAAATTGTGTTGACATTTTTATTGTTTCATCGTTCCAGTGAAGCGTTACTGTGAGCCGAGGTTTGAGAGGAGGCCATGGCGGATATGGTTTTACGACACGTCCAAGCAAGGTTTGGGAGCTTTGTTTATGCACATGTCCAACATATTTCTCTCAGGTCTCTTCCAGGGGGATCCTTGCACTTGGTAGGTCATATTTTACTCACCGTATGTTTACATGTTGATGGGGAATACAGATCAGCGACTCTCAAACAGATTAAACTTACTACCTCTGGAAGACTTTATTAGTATTCTAACTTATACATGTACTGGTGCAATTACCTGCTGTCGAGTGATCCTTGTGTCCTTGAAATACCTTGTGACCGAGTTTGATCCTTCTGTAGACAAATATCGTATTCTTTATTTCGTTCATGAGAACACGTTGATTTTTTAAAAAGCATTAATTTTTATTTTTATTACAATTTTAATTTAGTCACTCACATGCACAAAGCAAGTAAAATGACCAATGCGCGCAGTGGGAAGATTGAGAGGTCTTAGCAGATTCAAATTTCTCCTGCCAGAATTTGCCAAAACGCAACTCATGCGGTCCTTGGTCCTCCCAGCCTTCACATATTGCTTTCCTGCATATGGAAACAGCATCTCTAAGGAGGATATGGCAAGAGTTCAAAGGATTCAAAATTCTGCCATAAGGTTCATTTTTGGCCTTAGTCGCTTTGACCACGTGTCCTCCTACAGAGATGCTGCTAAGCTCATCCCAATGGATGACATGTGCAGAAAGCTGACCTGCTGCCTGGTCCACAAAGTGCTCACGCTGGGAGAGCCTCGTTAACTTACCTCAGCGAGAGGCTGAAGTACAGGAGGGAGATCTGTCTGCGTAGTACTCGCTCCGACCGCAGGTTTCACTTTCCTAAAGTGAGGCTTGAGGCTGGAAGAAAGTCTTTTTCTTATTTCGGCCCGCAGTTGTACAATGGCCTCCCTCAAGAGATCAAGTGTTCGAAATCGTACAACACATTCAGGGCCGCAATGAAAAAAACAAATGTAAAATGTATATTGTAATTATTCTGTTGTAATTTGTTTGTATATACTTATGTAAATATATTAGGATAGTTTAGATTTAGTGACTTGAGTTAGTTTGAAAACCATGTATTATGAAACTCGCTCGTAAATAAAGACCTTTTTATTTATTTAAGGAATACAAGGAAACAATGACACCGGCAAGCAGCCTGTCTAGACTTTACTTACGTGTCGCCCGTCGCTTAACCGATCGTTTTAATAGTTTTGGTCATTTTTACGTGTTTTGTGCATGTGTGTGACTAAATGTACCGGTATTGTAAAAAATGATTTAATGCTTTTTAAGAAATCAACGAGTTTCCAAGATTGAAATAAAGATGACGACGTTTGCCTAAAGATTATCCCGTGAGGATCGAAACTGCTCGCTTTTCAAGGTAAAGACTTGTGACTTATCACTTGCAGGGACTTGCCAGCAGGGCATTGCACCAGTAAACATATTATTCAGTGGTTAGGAGGCTTAATTCATACAAAATTTTATTTTTTGTTGAAGATTACATGATCTAGAAAACCAGTACCTAACGTATGTCCATCAACGCATGCTGTAGGCTACAGGCTATATCTAGTGTGGACCCCCAAGTAGAAGAATGTTGCCAGGTAGCTGTTGTTGTACAGCAAGTTATTTTATTCTCAACACCAATGCCATTTTGTATATTGTCTTCCAAATGCTTTTAAGGGAAAGCAGTTCAATCTTAAATTTTTGTAGGATTGAATCGGACATATTCGCAAAATCATACGAGACACTGGCCTCTGGGATATTATTCCAGCCTAATGATTCTTTCCATTAACTGTGTTTTCCCAATATATTTTCACTTATGCTTGATTGTTAAATTTTGGCATTTTTCTCACAAATTTTTGTTGGACAGACTTCATACAGACTCACTCATATTTTGTACAATTCTATTGATTGTAATTTTTTTCAGGTATATCATAAACTTCCTCCTAGATTCCTCAATTGGTTTGCTGCTGATTTACATTGGAATCCGTTTAACACAATTTGTAGCCAAAGTGAAACAGTGGGATTCCATCAACTTTGGAGAATACGGTATGACCAGCCGTTTCCTTAATCAGTACCATTTTAAAAGCTCAAAGATTAAACTCAGTTTGTCTGGTTTTGAAATATCATTCAGTTGAAACGTTAATAAATGTCATATGCAAATAATCACTTGGGTTCAACTGTGATAAACATTAAGCAGAGCACAATAAGGACCATGAAACTGGACTGAAAATGGGCAAAGTTCCGCAGAGAACGTACAATATATTATCAATAAATATTAGTTCAATGAAGATATCAATTTAAATATTGGAATTCAATCAATATATATAACTATTAAATGTAGGCTAATTATTAATTTTTGTTGATGCTCTTTTAAAGTAGAGAAAAAACCTGTCATTCTTTTACTGTGTGCTGCGGTACGTAAGGTTGGGTTAGTTTAGTTTATGAAACTTATGAAAAAAGACGGACAGTACAAATATAAATTGACGTCTTATTAAATAAATCTCTTTAACAAATAATTGCACTGTACAACTTTTGTTTTTAATGTTACCTTGTTTGTTATTATCAAAGTGAACTAACCTAACCTAATATCCGCAGCTCAATGTGACAAGTCTTTTTGAAAAACATAAGCAATATTTATCGCAAAAACTATATCTGTACTATATAATATCAAACTAATTTCATCCAATAATATATTGTAGGTCCTCTGCGGAACTTTGAGACGATACTTGAATTACAACACAGATCAAATTTTTATTACTTCACAGGTGTTGCTTACTCATTAAGCAGCATTTGCCAGTGTTGACAGATTATAGAGTGAGAACTTTATGTATTAATCTGTTTCCTTACATCCATGTCACAGAATGTGTCTTTCCTCAGGAATGCCACCCTCCACCAATGCTTGGCTATCCCAGTGCTGTCTTTACATCCTGCTCATGTTTCTGGTCAAAGTGATCATCACAGTGCTCATACAGTTCCAGTTCTGGGACAAAGTGCGCGAGCTCATTCTCTACCCATTTCCCAACCAAGACGTAGAACTTGCAGTGGTAATGCTGATTATACCTCTCTTTGTCAATGTAAGTAGACAAACGTCCTGGTGTTTAACTTTACTGGTGTATTCTAGTGTGAGGTGGTTCATCCTAGTACTAGTGAGTTCAAATTCAAAGTTTATTTGCTAGAACCAACTAGGAATAAATTAGAGATAGGAGGGTACCCGAGCACTAATCACACATTTTATTAGAGTTCAAAACTTGTTTTCGAGGCAATACGAATAATGCAATAGGCTACCCTTCTACTTTCAAAGATTATGTTTTGTTTGAGACAGTTATTAGATAAATAAAACTACTAATTCATGATACAATTTTTTACTGTAGATCCATACTTTGAAGAGTGATTTACCAACCTTGATCAGATTATGATTATTACTTAAAGCACCCTTGGCTATTTTAAATCCATTTTACAAGTCTCTTGTTTATTATATGACATCTGACTGTTTTTAAACATTCAAATTAAGGATCAGCTGTTATTCAATTACAATTCACATAACCGTTATAAAGCATGTTAGGGTACGGTACAACATTTGTGAGGTACAACGTGGAAAAATATAATTTTTTGAACATAAAAGAAACTATTTTAATATCAATACAAAATATTAGTACAAAAAGTCAATGTATACTTTTCAGTAGAATTTCTACATTAGTATAATCTTGTAAACTTCCAAGTGAGCAGTTAAAACCTTTAGCGAAGCAGTCTATTAGTTGTGGTAAAACGTCGCCTGGAGTTATTTTTTCACCGAGTTCCTCTGATATTGAGGTAACACCTTTACCCTCGATTCCACAGGGGACGATGTGAGTGAACCATTCGAGTTCTGTGGAGCAGTTGAGCGCAAACCCATGAGTTGTGACGTAACGACTACCGTGTATACCGATAGCACAAATCTTCTTATCACCGACCCAAACTCCCGTGTGAGGAGACGTTTCTGCTTTCAGCCCGTACTGCCGACAAATGTCTATTACGACATTCTCTATGTTCGAAACATACCATTTAACACTCGGTTTGAATATTTTCAAATTTATTATTGGATACACCACTAGTTGTCCTGGCCCGTGGAACGTTATGAGTCCTCCTCTGTCTGTCTTGTAAAATTCCGCACCGAGCTGTTTTAGTTTTTCCTCGTCCCTCTCTGTGTACTGTTTAGTTCTGAGGCCGACAGTGTAGACAGGGTCATGCTCCACCAAGAGAACTGTTCCACTTGGGGTTTTGTCTTCTGATATGAGTGTTTTTATATGAGCTGCTACACTGTTTTGAATACTCAGTGCCTGAAAAAAAAAAACTTATATCAGTGGAAGTCTATAAGTTGTAAGATCATACTTAGTTTGATTTCTGTGTTTTTTTGTTTCTAGCAAAAAATTTCCCTTAAATAGAAAATAAGATATTACCATAGGCTTCATGCAGTGATGTGTCGATACCTATACTCCCCTTTAGATAGGATTTAGGTATATTCAAATTCATTGTCATACTATGAAATGTTTGAATGTGATTGTATTACCTTCTTTTCATCAAATTATTATTCCTGTTATTATTAATAAACCTATTGATTTTTTCTCCGTTTTCTCAAGCCACTAGGACTCCTCTCCCAGGTAAGCTTGTATTCACAATGAGAGTTTCACACCTATTATTTTTATAGGAAGGAATACAATTGAAAAAAATGTTACAAAACTGGCATTTAAGTTGCTTAAAGTCATGTTTATTTTGGCTAAGGGAATTCATGCTGGGTTTCGGTCCAAATTTGTAGAGTTTTATCATCTTGTTTTGAGATTCCATTGATTGGGTAAATTATGAATTTATTTACCTCTTTGTAACTGCGTCGACCCAGATTCCAAAGGCTGAGATGAGGTAAAATAGTCATTCTTATACTGCTTTAAGTGCTGTTATTAATTTGAAACCTGTAAAAAATTAATTAAAAATCCATATATTCTTTGCTGCCTGTTCTTAGATATCACTACAGTAGTTATTCATTCAAACCAAATAAATTAAATACTGCAAAAGAATTCAAAGATGTTGAATTGATTTCATTTGATTGTAGGTGTATATCCTTACAAAATTACAAATGTGTTAAAACTTGAGCATGAAAAATATACAGGGGGTTTTAAAATTGAAGGTAACTACCACCAAGTTGATACGTCCAACTTCAAAAAACAAATCAAGTATACAGAGAGAAGTAAGATTCCCTTTACCGTGGTTTAGATATGTTTGGTTCAGATTTCTGATTGTTCAAAATACCTTCTACATATGATTCATATACTCGTACACCAGCACTGCTTTATCTTACACAAGTGCAACCTATTCACATAGTTTTCATCTAGAACTGTTTGTTAAACGTATTAATCGTTTATTTGTGGGTATGATAGACATAATGTAAATTGCAAAGCATTTCACTCACAATGTGTAGTCGTGAGGTGTATCCATTCATTTGTATTAACTTATCAGATGTTCTGACGGTATAGTCTGGACTGGACTATAATCAGGTCCAGCAACTGTAAATCACATACCACTGCTTACATTTTAAATATTTATTATTTAAAGCATTAAATGCTACAAATTGGTTATATTTAGTCCAGATGTGGGTGTATTGAAGTAGGCCTATATTCCTTTCCAGGCTCTGATGTTTTGGGTCACGGATGACTTCCTAATGCATCGGTCCGAGGCGAAAACGAACCGGTTGGTGCAGAAGACAAAAGTCCGCTATCTGCACACTCGACTGCCTCGAACAGAGTCTGACTCGGACGTCGTGTTGTCAACAGACGAAGACATCATCGGAGACTCAATACAACATTTGCGTTCATCCATTCTCTCCTGATGCACTTCTTATCAAGTTTGCACCAAATTAGTATTTAAGGGTACTTAAAATAGTCTTATTGTTATGTTTGTGTTTTATATGAGCTTTTATATTTTTATATTTATTCCTACATGCGAAACGAGAGTTTTCAGCCTAGGTCGGTTGGCTTTGCTTACAGCGTAGAGTGTGTGGATTTTGCGTGTTAAACAAGTGTTGTTTGTAGTATGAGATTGTGTGAAAGAGCTCAAATTTTAAGATATATTTGTAGTAGACCCTTGATAGTCCAGAATAAACTAGCAATGGGTAGGTCAGATTTACAAGTAACCATTGATGTAATGAATTTTAAACCGCTTATAAATCTTTAAAAACTTTCAACAGCAGCACTTCATCTGCCCAATAAACATAACTCAGTCTCAGAACATTCACTTTCATAATGTTGTGTTCACAAAATGTAGTTGCAGTTTTAATTTCTAGATTTGCTGCCAATATAGTCCGTATGATTGAACTTGTCTCCTGACTATCCATCTACCTGGGGACTGCCCAATGGGTTAAGGTTCGGGTCAGTCCCAGGTAGGCGGAGGGTCAGGACACAGGTTCCATCATACAGACTATAGTAACAAGCAGTTAGGTATTGTTGTGATAAATGCTGTAGACCCACAATACAATTTTATATCATAGGCCTACTGTATTGTTTGGGCAGTAAATATGTAAAGGTGTGTAAAACATACCCTAGTTATAAGTTTTGTTATAACCGACCTCTTAAAACAATAGCGCTAAGATACTGTAGAAGTACGGATTTGTTTTCTATACAATACATGTGGGTTTTAAGGTTCCAATAGGCCTACTAGTTTTTAGAATTGATACGGTTTACTCGGTTTTAGATTATCAAGGGACTACTCCACTACATTTATCAACTAAGAGACTGAAGTTGAATTATAGTTTAGTACCTACTGATCAACTTTACTTTTATGAATTTTGTTAAATAAAATAATTCATAAAAGTAATTGACAAAAATTAAAGTAATTCATTAAAGTAAAAGTAATTAATGTTAGTTAACATGTTTATTTCCCCACTAGAGCTTGGATATTTAAGATCTACGTCGCTTATATTAACTGTAACTGCAAATATTACCGTATGTAAAGAACAAATATTTGCAGTTAGGCCTACAGTTAAAATAAGCGTCATAAATCTTAAATATCCAAGCTCTAGTGGGGAAATAAAAACATGTTAATTAACAAACTGATTACCTATAATTTGTCAGGCAAAAAATTTAAGTCTTGATCTTTATCAGAGAAAATAATAATATTGAAAGGTGTTTGATGCCGCTTACAAAGTAGTTACCTACTAAATGAAATAGTAATCATAAATTACAATGGAATATGCTTAGTTAAATTCTTGATTATATGTTCCTAAAATATCTCCTAAGAAATTTCTCCTGTGTCTGGTTGGGTAAGGCTGGGCGCACACTGATCCAGCATTTCACCTGAAGCAAAATGTTGCACAACGATTAGCTTGAAGCGTTTTGTTTATTTGCTTCCCCAGTGTGCGGGAGGTTCAAGCATGATTCAGCATTTGGTTTCAAGCAAAATTAAGAAAAACAAATATTAGAATTACATATTATGTCTACTGGTCTTATACTGCAGTATTGTTTTAACATATGTGACGAGGAAGTTTACTATTGCTGTATGTCAGTTTTTTGCAAAATGCTGGACTAAATAGAAAGACAAAATTGGGTTCACCCAATCAATCTGTTGATAGACAGCTTTACTCTCAGGAATTAAATCAGATCCAGGGAAATTTTACAATCATTGTCGAATAAATGCTATACTATTTTATAGAAAGGGTTTTAAATACCGTAAGAAATTATTATTAGATAGTGTCGTGATAATGAGTTATATAAATAGGTAATGATTCATGAACTGAGTAACCTTGGTAATTTCTAAATTATTTTACTACTTTGCATGACTACCAAAATGGTAGCAAGAAAAATTAAACAGCAGTATTGTTCAATATAAATTCAAAATATAATTGTTAAGTTTTAACGCAACTTCTAAAGTCATTTTTCAAAGAAGAGTTATTCTTTAATCAACAAACGGTCAATGGAATTTTGAAAGCCACTTAAGCTTTACTAGCTAGAAAGGATTTGGCGCATGCGCAGAACGTTTTGCTCCTTGAAACATCAAACATCGTGCTGTATGGGCTCCGTTCGTCGAGCAACTGCTCAAATGTTTCAAGGCGTTGCAAGGCGCCTCGCAACGTTTGCTTGATCAGTGTGCGGCGTCCCATTGAAATACATGGGGTGCTCGTACCCAGTGAAACATTTTGCCTCGCAACACTTGCTTCAGGTGAAATGCTTGATCTGTGTGCGTCCGGCCTAAGGGTTCTTAATTGTAAAATCGAGTTTGGTTCTGCTTTTATGGATCGATAGTGTGTATGTGTGTGTTACATTACTATGTTAGTGAACAATCAATATTAGGCCTAAATTAGTTTTATAACTACTCATTTTCCAACCCACATATTATGTGACCAAAGAATGTATATTAACAAAATATTTATTTACTGTACATTACAGTCCAACCTCAGTATAACGAATCTGAAGGGACCGAACCGAATATTCGTTATAGGCCTATCAAGGATTTCGTTAAAATGAGGTTCGTTATATAGAGGTTAGGTTTGCAGGAATTTCGCTAAGTCGAGGTTCAGAACCAGCATCAGTCTATATAGGTCGGGATTGGACCTGATTAAAACACAATTAAAGTAGTCTAGGCTACAATACTTTACAGTGTACAGTGTTAACATTGTAAAGTAGAACCTCGATTATCCGGGATACTAAAGGGAAGGGATTTTTAATATTGCGCAATCATGACATTTATAGTCATTGACCTTGGTACAGGGGTTATAGTAGTATGTTTTCTGTGGTACAGGTTACAAACTGTAAGTTTAAAATCACAGCTTACTGCTTGCTCCAACCCACCTAAAACCTAGCCAAACACTGTATTGCATAGTAATAAACCACGTAAAGAACAAAACAAAACATTAGAGAGTTTTGTAAGCTACTGCTCGCGATAGGCCGGTGGTAGGCTACAGTACTGCTTTAAATCACATTGGAGGAATGTACTGTAATAATCATGAACTTAGTACAAACCATATTGAGAATAATGAAAATATTAGATAGGCTAAGTCGTTATAAAAGTGTATACTCATAGCAAACTTAAAGATAATAAAACACTCGTTAATGGAATGTTAAGATAACGATGTTGCTATTCTTTTTCTTTGCCTTGATCTTCTATTATTTTTCTTTCTAAGGTTTCTCTTCATCCAAAAATTGTACAATTCACCACATTTACTTATCACCCAATCACAGCTTACTACACATTACGTCGTCATCAGTCCTCAGTGAATGAAATCAGTTCTCTTAGTTGTAAACATAGTGCGCAACGACGACAGCAGACAGGGATGTGTAAAACGGAGCAGACGAATATTAGCGCAAGCGTTGACGTCACCTTTCCATTTCATTTGATGAAGAAACAGAGTTTTCAAAAGCAATAATGGTGGTGGGGTGTTCGTTGTATCGAGGTAAAGACGCAGACAATTCGTTAAGTAGAGGTTAAATTCGCTATGTAGAGGTTATGACAATGATAAATTCGTTATATTGAGGTGTCTTATTTTAGCCAGGAACATGAAAAATTCGTTAAATCAAGGTCGTTGATATGGATTGTTCGTTATGTAGAGGTAAAATATACATTGTGTCTTACGGAGAGTTCTAGGGGATTTAAAAGTTTGTTATATCAAGGAATTCGTTATATCGAGGTTCGTTATATTAAGGTTAGACTGTATTTAATGCTTTTGTGATATGATATATTTTTACTTTTTGTGATACTAATATATTCATAATATATTTCATTTTACCTGCTAAATATAACTTATATAAATATTGATTATTTTCAGAACATTTCCAAAAAATATTTATTTTGTATAGGAAAAATATAACTATAGTTCGGCCGCTTAGAAAACGACCTGCACGCTAATGTAAACCAATGCTGGAGGAGGTCGCTTTCTAAGCAGCCGAACTATACACACTAAACTATAACTTGTGTCTCACTTTTAAGTTAAAGCAAGCTATTTGTTATTAAATAAAATAGAAGTGTTCTTTACTTACGGGTCAATCTTGTATCATGCTCAATCGTGCTGCACTTTTTTCTGAATTACATTTCGGCACAAAGAAAATATAAGATACTTTCTTTTCTTGATTTTCAGTAAGAAAGTAAATAAATGTATGACTTGGAACTTATTCTTTTTAACCATTGTCGTTGTTTCATGTTGACAGGTAAGGTTATTTTATCAAGTGTATTGGAACAAGTTATGCAGAATTTTAGAAGAGGAATAAATTAAAATTTGTGCTTGTTTCAAAAAATTATTACTGAACTCAGTTTTTGAAAATAATACAACCTCCTATTGCATATTATCCTACTTAAATGTGTTAACTATTATTAAGTTGATTAGTAATTAAAACATCACTGACATCATCACATTTGTTAGTATAATCCGTTCTAATATAGCTGTTGCCTGTACACTTCCTGTTAAGATACAAATTTAAAACTCACTATTTTATCAATCCATCAATATCTTCCATTGGCTGTTGTTCCTGTAAATATTATTAATATAAACGAAATATTGATTTATAAGTAAATGTGCCGGTAAAGGGGTTTTCTTACTTCTCTTGGATCTCGTGCCTTAAAACTGCCTTTTAGTAAATTTTCACTATAGGAAGCTTTAATTAAATGTGTAGAAAACAATATCAAAGTAAAGCACAGATAATATAAGGTAAACCATTATTTTCTTATAGCAGTGTATTGCCAAATTTTACGTTTTCAAATAGTCTACTTCCAACAATGACTTGTCTTGTTTCTTGTTTATTTATTTTTATAAAGATTAAGAAACATTGAATAGCCTACTTTACAATAAAACTGGATTAAACCTATATCATATTCAGTCAAACTTTAGGTTGGCCTAAGGGGTCACAATATTTTACTCATTGATTTAGTTAGTTACCATGTATACTTTCATAAGACTTTTTCATTGATCTTAATTTTCTTATACTATTAATGATTTTCCTTAATTCCTTGTGAAGGCTTAGGAATTGGCAGATTATGTAAATCACTATATAAGACCTATAGATGAATTTAATAAATGGTAGGATATTCTCTTTTGTTGTTACTGATAAAACAAATCATTCCATAAGAAGTTGTCTTAGGTTACCCACCGTGTATTACTAATTTCATTTCAGTCAGTATCCATGAAAGGATAAAATTACTGTAGGCCTACAGCCTATGATTATTTTAATCTGTTGTGTAAACAAGTTGAAACCAAAGTTTACCCTAGGATTATGTACTGTATTTGATATTTCTAATTTTTTCTATTAGTGAGATTGTGTCTCTAGTTAGAATAAATCAGAATATTAATGTCTCCGACATTGTTAATGTGTGGGAAAAAAAGAAGGTCTCCTTAATAAGAGGGCTACCAGTTTTTTGCTACAAAAATTAATTTATATTGTTATAAGAACAGATTATTTATTTCAAATCTAGCCGCCTCTGAAATAGTTTTACTGTTGTGGAAAGCCTGTGGGCCGTTAACGTCTGTAACTTAAGCCGGGTATTGTTTCTTGGTCCAATGCCCAATCCTTTTCATTAACTGCTGATCTACTGAGTTCACACTAAAAGGGACTAAAGAGCTCAATAATCACGATTAATTTTCTTTACTATTAAAAATATCGTGTTATTGCGGTTTCTCTTCAAAAACCTGATAATTTCATGCAGATAAGTCAACGTTTACACATTTTATTTACCGTTAGGATTTCTGATCGTTGTGAATACCTAATTATATGTAAAGCATTGACCAATTTACAATTAATTAAATTTGAAATTAACATACAAAAGAAACCACAATATTGCACCTTAGATAACCATTGTCTTTTCAGAACGATGGCCTAGTTATTTTAACAGCCTATTTCTCAACTTGTGTCTAAGTTAAAAGGACTTAGAAATATATAAAGTACCAAGGTTATTTAATTTGAATTTAAATTGCTTTGTAATAATATGTACAATTAAATAAAATATGAATATATTATTTACCTTAGTTAGTTTTTTACTACCCTGGGTTTGAACATCCATATTGGGCAGACCATAGGCCTACATTGCAGTTAGGTTTGATTTAAATAGGTTGTGCTACTAGGACAGACAAAATCATAGTTATAAAATAGGTAACCCATTTTTGTAAGTTAGATACTTGGGCTAACATCTAAAATGTTGACTCAGTAATTGTCAACTGTTGTAAACTTGCATCATGGTACGTTAAATTGGATTTGTTTACAACCTTTTGTTTGTTTTGGGTTAGCACTGGTTATGAAAATCATAATCGGTTTGATAGTCGCCTCATTTAATACATCAGTAGAAGCATCGGTCCACACTTTAACTTAACGCATATATGTTTATGGCATTTAAGAGATTGGAAGCATTTAACGTACATGGTTAAACTTAGAAGATGGAATAATGGACAAGAATAAAGGAAAAATTACCATAAATAAGTACCATGATGGACTATATTTGTAAAGGTACCAGTAACGAACAAGTATTTAACTAACAGCACAATTATTGACAGAATCTAGGCCTAGGCTTCAATAACCTTTTAACAGGCTTGCTGTAACTCAAAACTAAATTTTTACATAAAGTTAATTTGGCGACATTGTATTTAGTTTTTTTTTTTATAAATGTGCTAAAAAGTTACATTAAGCATTGTACTAAAAAAGGAATAGCTGTTCCAATGTACACTGATAAAATGGACAAAATATCGTTTATATTTCCTTTTTCGTCTAAAAAACTCTTGAAGATGTTACATGCTTAAAAAAACATGTTTCTTGAGCCATATTTTCCAGGTGGTTTAGGAGAATCTATAGCAATTTTGTCTGGAGTGTCAGCGTACACTCTAACCTCAGCTTCAGGTTTAGGCCTTGGTGAGTCATGAACTTTAACTTCGCAAAAGTAGCCGTAGTGTGGTCGTTCCAGATTTAAATTGTCAACCATGCATTTGTCAAATACTTTCTGAGTCTTTCGACAAGGTTCCAGCTGATAGTTAGGGCTACTTTTATCAATGCAGTTGTAATAGTTGGTGAATTCTTGAAAACATGAGGTCTTAACCTTCTGAAAAAACTCCAACGAGCAATTGGTTACAGCCTTACCTTCGGTTAGGCATTTACGAATGTCTTTAGTTTCTCCCCTACAAAGCATGAATTCATTATTGACATCTTCACAATATTTACCAAGATGAAATGAGGCAGCCCTCAAGACGACACCACTGACATCTACTTCTTGAACAGTCAAATCTTCATCAGAAGGGATTGTAGTGTTTTTAGTTACCACCATGTTGTTGAAAGGCCAACACTAAACTAATATAAATTGAGTAAAAAAGCGTAAAAGGAATATGAATGCAGTTCCCTCTACAGAGGTAAAAAGGATCACAAAACTAGTTGACAGGTAGCAACTGTTACTATTATGAATACAATACTGAACACTCAAAAGTCATGTCTTAACTTACTTGACATTAGAAGACAACTAAAATGCAAAGAGTGTCACCAATCACCATCCTAATAATGTTGTTTTCATTTTCAAGAACAAGTCAAAAATTTATAAAATAAATAGGTTATGTTATTTTACGTCTGTAAAAGCTCAGCTCAGCTGACGACACACTCATCACTCATTATTGGTTCTTCTTATCCACTCGGCAGTAGCATTGACTATACCTACAGTAGGCAGTCGTATCATCGTAGTCTAGTCCCCACCTGTTCAAAACTGTATTCATTGTAGATCTATTCAATTTTACAATTCATAAATCTCCTTTCTAAACTAATAACCTTCGCCTTCAGTCTAAATTCCATTATTCATCTTTTTTATAGGCATAATTCCATATGACTAGGTTACTATATTTATAGTAAAATAACTCGTTCTAATAATCTATATATATAAAAGGCAAAGCCCTCACTGACTGACTCACTCACTCACTCACTCACTCATCACTAATTCTCCCACTTCCCATTTACCTAGGAGGCTGAGATTTGGTACACTGATTCTTTAGGCATTAAATAGGAAAACTAAATTGTTTTTATTGTGATCGGACTCTCGGGCTCCGCCCCAGTGGCTCTGGAGTCTCCCATGTTAACCTTATGAGTACTCATATTTAAATGGAATTTATGAATCTTAACAGCTGTTTTAATTAAACAAGTTGGTTCTGTTCTATGCACTATTATTTTTTTTTTAATTTATGACAACATCTAATTTGCAACCAAAAGGTGAGTGAGCGTAGCGAACGAACTTCAACCAGGACGTGATTGAGTCATGCGAACTAGCTCACTTATGAAGTAAAACGGGGCAAAGCCCGCGGGTACAGCTAGTTATTTTATATATACCAAACCCTCGTTCTTTAAAAATGCTACTAGCTTACAGGTGTATACAGTGAGAAAACCACTTTGATTTTCAACTCCATAAATTGTTATAGTTAATGCAGAAAGTTAAGGGGTTAATGAGTTTAGTTATCGATCGAATACATGTATTGGTGAAACATAAAAAATCCATAACCAACGCTCGGTTTATTTTATTACTGATCCATGAATGAACTTTATCACTACTCTTTGTCGTCTCCATGGTAACCCTATTCTATTCCAACAAAAACGTCAACATCACATCACAACAAGAACAAACAAAACAAATGGTAACAACAAAACACAATAACAAAGTATGCTTTATTAAAATCTTTTTCTTTAGTGAGTAAACCACTAATTTATTTAGCTTTAAAATGCGTTACAACCTATATAATCTACGTTTAATTAACAATTGTTTTAAATTTAGATAAGTTATACCTTATTGTTATTGGTTTTATGTTAAATACACTTTTATTCTGTTGGTGGGTAACATTAGTTAGGCCTATGAATTTATATTTTTGTGGTAACTTGTGATTATGTAATTATTCTGCAGTATCAGCGATTAGGTTCATAGTGAAATCCATGTAAATTTAGTCCTTCCACTAAGTTATGTGTTGCCCTTTGCAACTAGACCTAAGCTGCACTTTTTTGCGAGGGCCCAATGGGCTGCACTTTACTTTAGGTCCTACACTCATTCGAATGAAAATATCTATTATTCGATTGTTTCATTCGATATATCGTTTGATTAGTTAAGTTAGCTTAACCTTACCTAACTAACCAAACAATAGGCCTATATTGAATGAAACAATCGATGTATCGATCGATATTTTCATTCGAATGAGTGTAGGACTTAAAGTAATGTGCATCCCAATGTTTCTTTAAATGTTTTAAATCTACAGTATATCAGGCTGTATATTAAATAACATTTTTGATGGTCCAGTGTTTTATTAAAACGGGTAAGACATCCGTATCTGTTGGCACAAACAACCGAATGAAAATATTGATTAATCGATTGTTTTATTCAAATATCGTTTGGTTAGTTATAGGTTAGGTTAATTTTACCTAACTAACCAAACGATATATCGATTGATATCTTCATTCGGTTGTTTGTGCCAACAGATAGGCCTAGCCTAAGTTACGGAAGTCTACCTATTAAAACTAACTGATACTGTATCAGTTATCTTGTTGCAATTTAGGCTGTGTACAGTTTGAGAAAACTGTGATTCACAATGGAAACAATACGATTTGTCCCGGATGATGAAGAAGAAGATCTTTATTCTGGTTTCAATGATTTCCCATCTCCTCTGTTCAACACAAAAGATTTAGACCAGGACGAGTATGTGCAGATTGCCCTTCGCTCTTCATACAGCAAAAGGCCTGGATTGGTAAGTTTTGTATTTAATAGTGTGATGTTTTCCTGAATCATTGTAGATGATAATCAGTAATGTTTACCAACAATGAATTAATTTTAATCAGCCATTTAAGTTATTTATTATATTTCATCATTGAATATTCGAGTTGTGCAAAATTAAAATTAGGAACATTGTTTACTGGTCATGAGAATTCAACACAAATAGGCATATACAAATAAAATTAAATTGTGTGTTGGATTCTTATTAAACATATTTTGTGTTTTCAGTTAACATCAAAACCTGGAACAGCTATGCGATTTGGAACATCTTCTGGGGTAAGATATAAGGGCTAATACCTGAAGATTTATTTTAGATCAACCACTTTTCAAATAGATAATGTAAGCTATTACCTTAGCAATCCTTATTATGGTTGTCCGATATTAATTTCGAACCCGTAGGTCCATCTTCAGTCGGAAGTTTAGGTAGACCAAATGCTTATTATAAAATCCACCCGATGGGCTTCGTAGAAATGTTGACATTTAACACGAACACGATACACGGAGTTCTGCCGGCAGCGTGTTCCCTGACTGAATTGAGGTTATCCCACTGTTTTATAAAACCATGGTTTTTATCCCTAAACTCCGTATATTATTTTTGTCAATTGTAATGTGTATCGTGTTCGTGTTAAATGTCAACATTTCTACGAAGCCCATCGGGTGGATTTTATAATAAGCATTTGGTCTCTACCTAAACATCCGACTGAAGATGGACCTACGGGTTCGAAATTAATATCGGACAACCATAATAAGGATTGCTAAGGTAAGAGCTTACATTATCTATTAGATTATATAAGCAATCCAGAGGCTGAAAAGATTGACACTTTTCAAACTAGATCATAGTACCTTTACATATCTATTGTGTTTATAGTCAGTTAATTCTTTAGATTCAATCTGCGTTCTGTTTCCATCATGCTTCTATCAAGTATTTTGTAGCCTATATTTTTCTTAGGGTTCAACATATTTAGTCCAAACCTTTGTTTCTAATATTTACAATACTTGTGATTGAAGCAAAGATAAATACATATTCAGATGGTATTAGGCTACAATCACTTTGTTTTATTTCATAAGCCAATATAGTTTTTAGTTGGACGAGACAAAATATTTAAAGATAATGCCTTTAGTGCTGATAAGTAATTCTTTGGTTAGAGTGACTAAAGATTAGAGGCTTTGTACTAAAAAAACTGCTGGGTCAACCAGAAAAATAAATTAAACCACACTAAAGGAAACTTTAATTAATTTTTTTTAATGTTCAACATAACCAACCAGACCACTGGAAGAGAAAACTGCCCAGACTGATCAAGAAGCAGCTGACAACGACTTCTGGACCAAGCCTTCTACTCACAGGACGAGCTACTGTCAACAACAAATGTGACTTAATTTATTCTACCTGGCCCTGAATGTACTGTAGGAGTATTTTAATACAGGATTTGTCTACAGTACAGGGAGGGCTCAGTCCGGGTGATGACGGGTCAGGACCCAGTGACCCGGCCAATGACTGCTGTTAGAGGCGCCGGGTACACATCCGCGGGACGTGCTGGGTCTGTGTTTGACCCACTGAACCAAGCGTCGGCCCCACCACTGGTACACGCCAAGGCGGAGGAAAAGTGAGTACATGTCCTGCATTTAAAATCTGTTGTGTTAGATTTTTAAACATATTTTGTTTTTTTTGCTATTATATATATAAGTATGCCGAGGTCTTGCTGCTTGTAACTTGGTTAAGGAAAATTTATGTTTTACCTTTGATTGGTTGAACATGATATTCCATCACCTTATAAGCTGTCAACAGTTTTAGAAGCAAAACGGACTTAGTTGTATTGAGTCTTTGACAGAGTGCGGTGATGTAAAATACTGATTTGTCAAATACGTAAACCTTATTTTTACCAAGTCAATTTGATGGGATGACTTATTGTAAGCAGGCATCTTTGATGACATATCAACTGTTTCAGTAACATCATCTATGGTGGAAAATAACATTTTGAGTAAAATTTATCTTGATTTTTAGACCTGAAGACAAAATAAAGAAGCTAGAACGTAGAATCACCGAGTTGATTGATGAGTCGTGTTTGGCTGCCAGCAAACAGCAACTGCGACAAGCCTTGGACAAGGCGAAGGAAGCCTCGACTAAGGAGCGGAACTTGATCCGACTGCAGGAGCAAGCTGGACTCTCTGATACTCACAATCTGGACCTTACGTTCTCTGTAGGTGTGCACTTTAGACAAATAGAATAAACCAATAAGTTTAAGATACGCAGGTTTATGAGGATTTAACTATTGATGCGTTTTGAAGACAACGGCATCATTGGTTTTTGGTAAAAGTACTGAGAAAAGAGGGATTTACGTTAAAATTCATTGGTCCCAAAAGGGTACGGGCCTATTGGCAGCATGACCTGAGGATGGCTACACGTTAGTATACGTAAATCCATGCCTGGGTGCCAAGTTTCTTTTATTGTTTGTTTGATTAAATGGAATGGACATGCGTCTTAAACTAGGCCTATATGCAAAATAGCAAAATCACCGAAAAATTGGAAAAGCGTGACAGGGATCATGGAGCAGCATTTGGTGATTGACTACAGCGACACAATATTGTAACATTTTCCGTGATTGCAGCACATTCTGTTGTAATCTCCTGTGGCCAATGCAATTTTGTTCATCCTCTACAATCATATACTAACCTCATAATTATTTCTTACGGTTGTATGATTTTTTTATTTGAAGAGAAAAGAGTGATGGAGCCAAATGGAGTGCCAGTGATAAATACACAGCCAGACGACATAGCTATAGGCTGTGTTTATTTTAGCGTTAAAATTTCTTAGACCTATTCAGGATCTACATACAATTTACATACTTTTATTCTAGGTCTTTAAAATTTAAGTACAATTTCCAGTTTCTTGGTTGGATGGACTCCCTAGATATGTTTATAATATTTATAGCTTAAAACTATACTTGCAAACACTATACCGGTAACCTTTTTTTGTAGAATGAATTTTTTTACAGAATAAAAATCCTGGCCTTTCCATGAAACAAACTGTACTAATCTGTTATCTGGTTATCTCTAAATCATAAAGTTCTTTGTTTTGGATTTTCTTTCAAAACTGCCAACATTTTCTGTTGGTAAAACTAATCCCAATCCTTGCAGAAAAATTTTAATTAAGGCTATATTTCTTGAACAGCCTGCTTCTTATTCTTAATTTGCAAATAAATAGGCCTACACTCATAAATCATAATACGGAAACATCCCGTTGTATAACAAACTTGTTTTATCAACATGAATATAAATATATAAAATATGGCCAGAAATGCAACTTACTTATAGGTACATGAAGAATGATTATCTTTCCATTTGCCATTTAGTTAGATCAACACCTAATATATCGGTACCTAGAAATCCTTTTTGGCCAGTAAACATTGACCTAAGTTACCAATACATCTACCACAGAAGCTGTAAATACAGTCAATCTAAAATAAATATTCATCTGTGCCGCAAGTTTTCAGTTTTCTATTTCAAATGTAAAAAGCCTGAATTTACCTTGTATCAATGTAATTACAGGTACTGTTTAACTTGGCGAGTCAGTACGCGGCCAACGAGATGTATTCCGAGGCCATCAACACTTATCTGGTGATAACAAAGAACAGGATGTTCCACAATTCCAACAAACTCAAGGTGAACATCGGAAACATCTACGTCAAGTTGGGCCAGTATCCGAAGGCCATCAAGATGTATCGGATGGCTTTGGACCAAGTGCCAAACACACATAAGGACTTGAGGTAAATGATAACTTGATATCATGCGAGTTTGTTAACAAACACCCCCCCTCTACTTCACACTTATTTTTTTTAACTTTCATCCTTAATATTTGTTTTACATTGATTTTTAAGTTTTGAATATACATTTCCTCAACCTCTAGCATACCAAGTTTGTTGCAATTGCATTGCAAATTTTCCAATTTTTTAGTATATCCCCAATTAGTTTTTTGTTCTTGCAGGATCAAGATAATGCACAATATAGGTATTCTGTTTGTCAAGATGGGCCAATTTAGCGACGCCTGCACCAGCTTTGAGTACATCATGCAGGAGAAACCAGACTTCAAGGCAGGTCAGTACCTACTGCTCTCGCACATAGTGGTAAGGTACAGAGGAAACTTACTTATGGGAAGACTGCGCTTTCATCTGTAGTTTGTTGTGCCGGAAATACTTGTGACGAGCATGGAAGAGCCTAAGCGGCGAGCACTGTAGAAAAATTCCAATCGCAAAGGGCGCAAGGCCCTCCACCGTCATCGTTTTAGTGCGTAAGGGCAAGGGGGCGATGTTGGACTTTGCCCTAGACCCCAGCGACGAGTGCTAGACACCACTTAAGTCTACCATTGAATGTTGAATGTGCTACAATTTTTCCTCTGCACCTTACTTCTCTGCGGTTCTCATTAGTTTTGACAAAACAAAAACTGGTTTTGATAAAAACTTAACGTTTATAGTGGAAATGGGCGGTTATTGGCATAGTCATAAGGGCAAAATGTAATAAAAAATAATCTATATATCTAATTCCGTAAGCCCAAAATTTTACAATGAAATTGTGAGCGAACTGGAGGCCGTAGAAAGCTGGGAGGGGTCTCATTTTAAAGGTCTGGGCATGAAGTTTTGGGGAAAAATACTCATTTTTCTTACTTATGCACCAAAAGGTTATTACAGGATAAAATAAATCACATTTAAATAGCATGGGAATCCAGGTCATGTCCGATTTGTTTACTTTAAAACATGTGGTTTAGATTTATTTAAAGCATATGGTAATATCATTGACTATTGGCTACAAAAGTTGTATTAATAGTGTTAAAGGTAGTATGTAATATATGTATTGTATGTAACTATAGTGCATTTGAAAGTAAACATACGTGCAAATGAAAATGAAACAGCATTTTGTGATTGGCTTCTACGCTTATATTAGGTAATGGAATCTTAGAGAGCAATAGGGCAACACCGGCAATTGACATTCCAGATAACTTTGTTCTCTCTGATTGTGCAATTGTTTATGGCAACTCAATAAATCCAGAAAATATTCAAAACTACTCCAATCAAATAATTGTATGTCCTTTAAATGACCATTGTGATAATTTAAATGAAGAAGTATTAAAAATCTACTACAGTAATTATGAAGTAGTTTCAGAAGACCCTACAGAGAGGTTGAATATACCAATTGAGTTTATAAATTCAATTACACCATCTGGAATGCCACTACACAAATTAGTTTTAAAAGTTGGTTCAATAGTGATGCTCATAAGAAATAGGGTCTGGATTAGTTAATGGAGTACGATTGGTTGTGTTGGGTATGTCTGAAAAAAGTGTAAAGTTAGTAGTAATTACTGGAGTAGGGAAAGGGAACATATTTTTCATGCCAAAAATAAAACTAATATCTACAGATCCTAATATGCCCTTTAAATTTACAAAGGATTCAATTCCCATTGCGATTATCTTTCACCATTACTATAAATAAAGCGCAAGGCCAAACCTTCCCAAAAGTTGGAATTTATTTGAAAAAAAAAACAGTGTTTACCCATGGTCAACTTTATGTTGCTTTTAGCCGGGTAAAGCGGCCAGATGACGTTAAAATAGAAATAGAAACAAATAAAGACCAAGGAATGGACCAAAATGGATACTACACAACAAATGTTGTTTTCAGAGAGATTTTGTTACAGATTTAGTATTTTACAATTTGGAAGATGACATTATCTCTATGTGTTGTGTTTTTCTAAGTGAATTTGTCTATATTTAAAAAAAATGTATATATATTTAATTAATAGTGAAGATTATTGAAAATGTTCTTTTGCTGTATTATGATTAGAAAATTTATGTTACAAACCCACCACATGAAGAGTCCTTTTGAATTTTTATCCTAAACAGAGCAGACATAAAAATGAATTATGCAGGTATGTGATAACTGTTATACATTATTATAATATACAAAAAATTTAAACGATAATTCAAGGTAGGGTACGGTAACCCATGAGACAAATAATTTGTACAAAATAATTATTAGAATATATTACATATACTGTATATAGGGGCTATTGCCCCTACAAGCCACTAGTATATTAGTAATATTATATCACGTTTTGGGATGGTTACTTACTGTACATTCTTCCAAATAACTTCAATACTAATATGCATTCAATTTCATAAGTTATTTATTGTTGGAATATTTATTTGTATTTTTTATGACTGTACTAATCTAAGAAAGTATTGCTTTTGAAGTCCTGTTTCATCATGCTCTTATGTACTTAACAATTAGATGTAGGCTAATATAATTATCTTTAACTCTAAACTCTACATCATGACAACATTAAATTAAATTTCACTCTACCATCCGAGTCTGCTTGCAGGGCTCCACGCTATAGTCTGCTATTACGCACTTGATGACAAGGACAGGATGAAGCAAGGGTTTCAGATGCTACTGGAGGTGGTGTTGGACATTGACGATGACGAAAAGTACATACCAACATCGGTGAGTGTTCACATCAGTCATAACTAAACTGCAATAATTTGTTTAAATACAGCAAAGTGATTTGGTTTTGGCAAATGTTCAATTACTAAAGAGGAGTTTAAAACACTCATAAACTAGCAGTGTATACTCACTAGGCATTTGATATCTGTCAGCGAACTAGGCCATAAAATTATCCTGGTATGCATCTCCACTGCCAAACAAAATTTGTTTGTTGTTTGTGTTTTCATTTTCATTTCTTCTTTCAGGATGATCCTGCCTCCAACTTAGTACTGGAGGCTATCAGGACAGATAGTTTGCATGCTTTGGAAAAACAGATGAAGAGGGAAGCGGAGAGAAGTATTCTGACGGCAGCAAAGCTCATAGCTCCAGTCATCGAGGACAATTTCACTGCAGGTAAGTCTCTTGCAATGGAATCATTTGTTTTGTGCTGTTACTGTTGTATGTATTCAGTTTTCATCATGAGATGCTGTTAAGAGTCATCAGTAGGAGAAATATGGCCCAGTCTGCTTTTTCATCTTCTAGGAACTCGCTGAACGAAATCGGCTTACATTTCGATTGCTTCCTAACTCAGATGACGTTAACCTGTTTTTGTATACATTTTTAAGAGCATGAAATTTCTACGAACATTGTTCATAACATAATGGCTGTAACAAAAAAAGTTGTTACTAGCAATGGTCTCTTATTAACTAGCACCCAAATAACACTAGGCCTAATGTTTATCATGAATTCCAATGTTCAGTACAATTTTCAGTAGTACTGTAAGTTTTATAAATACACCCAATTCTTACTCCTGTTGGCACCTAGCTGTAACAGTAACTTCTAGGTCTCAACGCCGCCACAGATTTTTAATGCATTATCTGGTTTTTAGGTTGGTCCATTGTAACAGACAACTATGTTAAAATTACAATCTATTTAAAAAAATCCATCTTCTTTTTCCAGGATACAACTGGTGTGTGGAGGCTATCAACAGCTCCATCTACGCTCCTCTGGCCGGAGACTTGGAGATCAACAAGGCAGTGATGTTCCTGAAACAGAAGGACATTGCACAGGCGATGGACACTCTCAAGACCTTCCAGCGCAAGGAGAGCAAAGTAGCGAGCACCGCTGCCTCCAACATGGCATTTGTTCATTTCTTGGTAAGCCATTGCCAGAATTTACATCAACTAGATTTCGGTGGAAATTACTAGCCAATGCCTTTTAAAGGTTTTATAACCTCCAGAAATTTCATCACATTCAACACATTCAATGGCACAACTATTTACTCAAATACTGCAGTATCTTTAGCATCACCGAGATAGCTCACTAAGGTAAAATCAGTTTTACCTTTGACCATTGATAATACTGGACATTCCATCCCTGTATTAAAAATTACGTCAGTTTTGCAATCATCATGGTAGAATTAACTGACCAACCGATTGCGCTGATGTAAATGACTGAATAAGCTGACCTTTTAACCAAGTCAAACTGATAGAACAACTTATTGTAAGCTATATAATCTTTTAGTTCACCTCAACCGTCTCAGAAACAAAAAATAAGGTAGAAAATATTGGACGAGTTGTTGTTTATGATTAGTCAGTTTTATTTGGTTTAATGAGGTTTTTAAATGACGGAAATAACAAGGCACAAATTGACAACAAAACACCACCCCTAATGTTTACCGGACGGAACCAACTATAAAATTATCCTCACCTGATCCTGATAAGGATGACAAATCTACTAAGGAAGTCTGTTTTATCTATGGTTTGGTTTTACCCTCCCAAATTTTCAAAATTTTAAAATAGGCGCCCGAAACAGATGGTGGATAGGCAAACAAAAGAAAGGGTAGAATTGTTATGAAGACATTGTTGTAAAGTATGACTATGCGTTGTGACAAAAACATCATTAGAGTTGTTGCATATTGAGGTTCATATTATTGTTTCTCCGTAGCAAGGAGATCTAGAGCAGGCAGAGAAGTGTGGGGAGATGGCCAAGGAAGTGGACGGCTACAATGCAGCGGCTTATGTCAACCTGGGCAACTGTAGTCTAGCCAAGGGTGACCAGCAGAAGGCTAAACAGCTCTACACTCTGGCGCTGGACAATGACACTTCCTGTACTGAGGCTCTGTACAACCTGGGTATGTATGACTGTCATCTCATTCAACACACATTGTTTGTTAATGCGTATTCGCTTTAAAATGCACCCGAGTGTGTCAACGATGTAAAAATCCAATCTAAGCTGTATGCCATGATTTGCTGGTTTTAGTTTTTCTGAGCTTGTAGGCACTAGCCATTATCTACTCTGTTCTGGTTGTTTTTACCATCACTATTGTTGACGTCCCTGAATTATATTCTAAAATTTTATACTGAAGCTAAAATCCTATGTCTAACTAAGGGAGATCATTAGAGAGCTATACCATTCTGGAGCTGTAGTAAAAATAGTAGTTTTTATATAAGCTTTTAATTTTTTTCCTACGTCATTGGCATTTTTATGTTTTTTGTAAGGGAAAAGTCTATGGTCTTGTTACCATCCAACATCAACCTTTTTTTAAACAACATCGTTAATTGAGAGCCCAGTGATAAGTTGCATCTGACTCCAGAATTAGCCCTGGTTGGTATCGAACCAGCGACCTTATGATTTGAAGTGTGCACTTTAACCACGATTTATTTACAAATGACCTGTGCTTAATCAACTTCTTGAACCAAGTAGGTGTTATTTTAACTTTCATTGAAAGCCCTTCACAAACTTTTAACCTGATATTTTTGACTAAAGTTTGCATCTGATTGAAGGTCTGGTGAACAAGCAGATGGGTTTGTTTGAAGACTCTCTAGACTGTTTTCTCAAGCTGCACGCAATAGTGAACCATCACCCGCAAGTCCTGCACCAGCTCGCGCATCTGCATGAGCTGGTGGGAGACGTGGACCAATCTGTCGAGTGGTAGGTCGATTTAGCTTCATATACACATACTCAATTTACTTAACCAGTTAACAATTGGATGATCAGCATTTTTCTAGTCAACTACGGCCACGTTGCATGTACCTAACCTATATCTTTGTTTATTACAATGAAATTTAACTTTCAATTGATAACATTGACCGTTTTGTTACTGATTAATAAACAATGTTCGAGTTCATGATTTGATTGTTACCTATGTTATCACTACTGGTTGTAACTGACTATGTTAGGCTGTAGTTACAGTTTGGTTTTAGCCTTGATTCCATTTATGTCTTAATTGCAGGTCTTTAAGGGTTATACTAGATTCGTAGATTTTAGTTTTAAATTCTCTAAGGATATCCAATTTGAAATTAACATCATATTTTAAATCCATTTTAATTAACCCAATCATCAATTCATATAGACCATTTATTTATTCATGATTGTCACTTTAGAAAAAATAAAAATTCAGTCTCTTTTAGCCTTTCTTATTGATGACTATCTCTCCGATACTTTTGTCGAGCTTGTGATCATGTTGTTCATAATCTAGTCTTTGTTTATAAGTTTTTTACTTCTCACCTATTTCACCAGCTATGCTGGGACCAAAAGAAGTTTTGAATTTTTAATAAAGAGTTTGCGTTTAAGCTTGAGCCAAAAGTTGCAGGTTTGTAACAACCGGATATAATAATTCAATGAGAAAATAACTAGAAATCACTTAAAGATTTATGTTTAGAAACACAGTTGCCTCTTAGTTTTTGTCCACTTTGAAACGTATGTTTCTTTGTATACAATGAACAATTTCACCATGAGAACAAGTTAGTTCTGGGACACCCTGTATACACTATACACAGTATGGTATGCTTTACAGGTTTCTTCAGTTGCTAGGGATCATACCGACGGATGCTGGTGTGCTTCATAAGCTGGGAGAAATATTTGATGGTGAAAACGACAAACAGCAAGCCTATCACTACCACTTTGAGGTTTGTGGTACTTTGTAAGAGTATTAAGAATTAAAGAAAAATTCCTTCTAAATTTTTCTTAAATTTATACTAATCACCCCCACCCTCTCCATCATGTTCTATTCACTGTGATTTATGTACCATTAAGCTCTCATCAGCGAAGATTTTCTTAAATTTGTCTATGCTTTAGTAAAAAAATCATATTTTTTCTGAACTCTGTTTCAAATATGGGAGTTTTCGGATTTCTCTTGTATTATTAATATATTAATAATTTATTATAAGCCAGTTAAATGTGTTTTAATAGTTACGATAACAATTTGCAGTCATTCCGCTACTTCCCATCCAACTTTGCCGTTCTTGACTGGCTCGGAGCTTATTTTGTCTCGATGCAAGTCGCGGAGAAAGCAGTAGCCTACTATGAGAAAGCCGCCTTGATGCAACCCAACGAGCCGAAATGGAGGCTTCTGATTGGCTCGTGCCACCGTCGCAGCGGCAATTATCAGCTGGCACTCCGGACCTACAAGGACATACTGCATGAGTTTCCTGAGAATATTGAATGTGAGTAAAAATGTGGAGTGATATGTTGTAACTTTTAACTTAAATATTGTAAATCAGTATTTTTGTAATTTAATAATATTGTTTTAAACAATCATTAATATTTTTCTGGTCATATGACATTGTTATTCTTGAATTATATACTTTGTCAGTTAAGAAGTAATCTTTGAAAGCTGTTATTCATTATGCCTTGAGACCAAGTTTTGGAACATATTAAACTATGCAATACCAATTTAAATCTTGTACTGTGTAATTTAGTATGGTGACTTAAGTTATTCTGAAAACCTAGCGTAGGCCTACCATAGAAACGCTTAGTAAAGACATCCTTATTTATTTATTTAAACCTATTGAATGTTTCCAGGTTTGAAGTTTCTGGTCAGAATGTGCAGTGACATGGGCCTGCCTGAAGCTGCTACTTATGCGATGCAACTGAAAAAGGCAGAAAAAGCCAAAGAGCTTAGAGAAAGAATCGGAAGCAGCCAATCTGGAACTGGTTAGTAAAACTTTTGTACATACGTTAACTCTTCCAAAAAGTACTGTTACAAAAGTTACACTGACAGTTAGTTAAATGAAAATTAATTATAGGCCTACTTATGAATTGAGAGTTTTTGTAAGACTAATCCAGTCACGAGTATGAATTAGGAAAATAAAATTCTGTATTATCAACCATTCTAACTTAACTGGAATTTCACTAAAATGTATAAAATCCTGAGATTTACCATTGGTCTTAGATACCCTTGTTCTACACTATGAACTTGCAAAGTTTTGAGATGTAGTTTTAAAGGTTTATATCATGACTGAAATGATCATAACCATCCTCTCAGTATCAAGGTGAAATTTTGAAAATCTCCTGCGATCACGGCAAAATCATGTTATTCAAATTTAATACATCATTATTATCTCTGGCTATAGCAGTATAATAATTGTTCACCGCTAGATCACCAATCAAGAAAACTTGATCTCTGTGTCCTGTGATGGTGGAAAGACATCATCATCATCTGATAATTAGACCAATTAGTTAATACCAAGACAAAAATGTGGTTTGGATTCCACTATAAACTGTAGGACCCTAGTTAGCTGTTTGGGCTATTTATTAAATTCTGTGTCTAAGGAATATGTCAGCCTTATATAGTCACTAACAAGACTACACGATCGCATCACTCATCCATCATTCATACTTGGCTTAAAATACCTACTTTGTATGGTCGCTATTTCAATGAAAAGTATTAAAAGTATCCTGCAATTGCAGCCAAATTAAGAGCAAATCCTGCAATCGCAAAGACATCATCATTGTCTCAGTTTGGGGTTTTCTGCCCAAAAACCAGTAAAACTGACCCATCCAAAAAGTCAAGGTTATTATTTTTGCCCTATAACTTGTTTAGAATATACTTTTGTAAATTAAATTTTGTATCCCTTGTGTGTAGGCTCTAGACGTAGCAGTGGCAGGTCGTCCCAAGGTGTTGCCAGTCCTCTCAGTGACTCTACACCTCCCACCAGAGGTAGCCTCACATCAGCCTCTAGACAGGCCAAGCTGTCTGTGCTAGAGTCACTACTTGTAATGTTTGTGTGTAGGCTCTAGACGTAGCAGTGGCAGGTCGTCCCAAGGTGTTGCCAGTCCTCTCAGTGACTCTACACCTCCCACCAGAGGTAGCCTCACCTCAGCCTCTAGACAAGCCAAGCTGTCTGTGCTAGAGTCACTACTTGTAATGTTTGTGTGCAGGCTCTAGACGTAGCAGTGGCAGGTCGTCCCAAGGTGTTGCCAGTCCTCTCAGTGACTCTACACCTCCCACCAGAGGTAGCCTCACCTCAGCCTCTAGACAAGCCAAGCTGTCTGTGCTAGAGTCACTACTTGTAATGTTTGTGTGTAGGCTCTAGACGTAGCAGTGGCAGGTCGTCCCAAGGTGTTGCCAGTCCTCTCAGTGACTCTACACCTCCCACCAGAGGTAGCCTCACCTCAGCCTCTAGGCAAGCCAAGCTGTCTGTGCTAGAGTTACTACTTGTAATGTTTGTGTGTAGGCTCTAGACGTAGCAGTGGCAGGTCGTCCCAAGGTGTTGCTAGTCCTCTCAGTGACTCTACACCTCCCACCAGAGGTAGCCTCACATCAGCCTCTAGACAGGCCAAGCTGTCTGTGCTAGAGTCACTACTTGTAATGTTTGTGTGTAGGCTCTAGACGTAGCAGTGGCAGGTCGTCCCAAGGTGTTGCCAGTCCTCTCAGTGACTCTACACCTCCCACCAGAGGTAGCCTCACCTCAGCCTCTAGACAAGCCAAGCTGTCTGTGCTAGAGTCACTACTTGTAATGTTTGTGTGTAGGCTCTAGACGTAGCAGTGGCAGGTCGTCCCAAGGTGTTGCCAGTCCTCTCAGTGACTCTACACCTCCCACCAGAGGTAGCCTCACCTCAGCCTCTAGACAAGCCAAGCTGTCTGTGCTAGAGTCACTACTTGTAATGTTTGTGTGCAGGCTCTAGACGTAGCAGTGGCAGGTCGTCCCAAGGTGTTGCTAGTCCTCTCAGTGACTCTACACCTCCCACCAGAGGTAGCCTCACCTCAGCCTCTAGACAAGCCAAGCTGTCTGTGCTAGAGTCACTACTTGTAATGTTTGTGTGCAGGCTCTAGACGTAGCAGTGGCAGGTCGTCCCAAGGTGTTGCCAGTCCTCTCAGTGACTCTACACCTCCCACCAGAGGTAGCCTCACCTCAGCCTCTAGACAAGCCAAGCTGTCTGTGCTAGAGTCACTACTTGTAATGTTTGTGTGTAGGCTCTAGACGTAGCAGTGGCAGGTCGTCCCAAGGTGTTGCCAGTCCTCTCAGTGACTCTACACCTCCCACCAGAGGTAGCCTCACCTCAGCCTCTAGGCAAGCCAAGCTGTCTGTGCTAGAGTTACTACTTGTAATGTTTGTGTGTAGGCTCTAGACGTAGCAGTGGCAGGTCGTCCCAAGGTGTTGCTAGTCCTCTCAGTGACTCTACACCTCCCAACAGAGGTAGCCTCACCTCAGCCTCTAGACAAGCCAAGCTGTCAGTGCTAGAGTCACTACTTGTAATGTTTGTGTGTAGGCTCTAGACGTAGCAGTGGCAGGTCGTCCCAAGGTGTTGCTAGTCCTCTCAGTGACTCTACACCTCCCACCAGAGGTAGCCTCACCTCAGCCTCTAGACAAGCCAAGCTGTCTGTGCTAGAGTCACTACTTGTAATGTTTGTGTGTAGGCTCTAGACGTAGCAGTGGCAGGTCGTCCCAAGGTGTTGCCAGTCCTCTCAGTGACTCTACGCCTCCCACCAGAGGTAGCCTCACCTCAGCCTCTAGACAAGCCAAGCTGTCAGTGCTAGAGTCACTACTTGTAATGTTTGTGTGTAGGCTCTAGACGTAGCAGTGGCAGGTCGTCCCAAGGTGTTGCCAGTCCTCTCAGTGACTCTACGCCTCCCACCAGAGGTAGCCTCACCTCAACCTCTAGACAAGCCAAGCTGTCAGTGCTAGAGTCACTACTTGTAATGTTTGTGTGTAGGCTCTAGACGTAGCAGTGGCAGGTCGTCCCAAGGTGTTGCCAGTCCTCTCAGTGACTCTACGCCTCCCACCAGAGGTAGCCTCACCTCAACCTCTAGACAAGCCAAGCTGTCTGTGCTAGAGTTACTACTTGTAATGTTTGTGTGTAGGCTCTAGACGTAGCAGTGGCAGGTCGTCCCAAGGTGTTGCTAGTCCTCTCAGTGACTCTACACCTCCCACCAGAGGTAGCCTCACATCAGCCTCTAGACAGGCCAAGCTGTCTGTGCTAGAGTCACTACTTGTAATGTTTGTGTGTAGGCTCTAGACGTAGCAGTGGCAGGTCGTCCCAAGGTGTTGCCAGTCCTCTCAGTGACTCTACGCCTCCCACCAGAGGTAGCCTCACCTCAGCCTCTAGACAAGCCAAGCTGTCAGTGCTAGAGTCACTACTTGTAATGTTTGTGTGTAGGCTCTAGACGTAGCAGTGGCAGGTCGTCCCAAGGTGTTGCCAGTCCTCTCAGTGACTCTACGCCTCCCACCAGAGGTAGCCTCACCTCAGCCTCTAGACAAGCCAAGCTGTCAGTGCTAGAGTCACTACTTGTAATGTTTGTGTGTAGGCTCTAGACGTAGCAGTGGCAGGTCGTCCCAAGGTGTTGCCAGTCCTCTCAGTGACTCTACGCCTCCCACCAGAGGTAGCCTCACCTCAACCTCTAGACAAGCCAAGCTGTCAGTGCTAGAGTCACTACTTGTAATGTTTGTGTGTAGGCTCTAGACGTAGCAGTGGCAGGTCGTCCCAAGGTGTTGCCAGTCCTCTCAGTGACTCTACGCCTCCCACCAGAGGTAGCCTCACCTCAGCCTCTAGACAAGCCAAGCTGTCAGTGCTAGAGTCACTACTTGTAATGTTTGTGTGTAGGCTCTAGACGTAGCAGTGGCAGGTCGTCCCAAGGTGTTGCCAGTCCTCTCAGTGACTCTACGCCTCCCACCAGAGGTAGCCTCACCTCAGCCTCTAGACAAGCCAAGCTGTCAGTGCTAGAGTCACTACTTGTAATGTTTGTGTGTAGGCTCTAGACGTAGCAGTGGCAGGTCGTCCCAAGGTGTTGCCAGTCCTCTCAGTGACTCTACGCCTCCCACCAGAGGTAGCCTCACCTCAACCTCTAGACAAGCCAAGCTGTCTGTGCTAGAGTCACTACTTGTAATGTTTGTGTGTAGGCTCTAGACGTAGCAGTGGCAGGTCGTCCCAAGGTGTTGCCAGTCCTCTCAGTGACTCTACGCCTCCCACCAGAGGTAGCCTCACCTCAACCTCTAGACAAGCCAAGCTGTCAGTGCTAGAGTCACTACTTGTAATGTTTGTGTGTAGGCTCTAGACGTAGCAGTGGCAGGTCGTCCCAAGGTGTTGCCAGTCCTCTCAGTGACTCTACGCCTCCCACCAGAGGTAGCCTCACCTCAACCTCTAGACAAGCCAAGCTGTCTGTGCTAGAGTCACTACTTGTAATGTTTGTGTGTAGGCTCTAGACGTAGCAGTGGCAGGTCGTCCCAAGGTGTTGCCAGTCCTCTCAGTGACTCTACCCCTCCCACCAGAGGTAGTCTCACCTCAGCCTCTAGACAAGCCAAGCTGTCTGTGCTAGAGTCACTACTTGTAATGTTTGTGTGTAGGCTCTAGACGTAGCAGTGGCAGGTCGTCCCAAGGTGTTGCCAGTCCTCTCAGTGACTCTACACCTCCCACCAGAGGTAGCCTCACCTCAGCCTCTAGACAAGCCAAGCTGTCAGTGCTAGAGTCACTACTTGTAATGTTTGTGTGTAGGCTCTAGACGTAGCAGTGGCAGGTCGTCCCAAGGTGTTGCTAGTCCTCTCAGTGACTCTACACCTCCCAACAGAGGTAGCCTCACCTCAGCCTCTAGGCAAGCCAAGCTGTCAGTGCTAGAGTCACTACTTGTAATGTTTGTGTGTAGGCTCTAGACGTAGCAGTGGCAGGTCGTCCCAAGGTGTTGCCAGTCCTCTCAGTGACTCTACACCTCCCACCAGAGGTAGCCTCACCTCAGCCTCTAGACAAGCCAAGCTGTCAGTGCTAGAGTCACTACTTGTAATGTTTGTGTGTAGGCTCTAGACGTAGCAGTGGCAGGTCGTCCCAAGGTGTTGCCAGTCCTCTCAGTGACTCTACACCTCCCACCAGAGGTAGCCTCACCTCAGCCTCTAGACAAGCCAAGCTGTCAGTGCTAGAGTCACTACTTGTAATGTTTGTGTGTAGGCTCTAGACGTAGCAGTGGCAGGTCGTCCCAAGGTGTTGCCAGTCCTCTCAGTGACTCTACACCTCCCACCAGAGGTAGCCTCACCTCAGCCTCTAGACAAGCCAAGCTGTCTGTGCTAGAGTCAGGCGCAGAACCTAGCTTCGGCCGCAGTCAGTTCCAGAACATTGGTGAATATAGGCCTACATTTAAGTTTACATTTCACTATGATACCTTACACACTGGGTGTTTACCAGATTTTTTAAACATTGTTTTTAGTTCCTACCCGAAGCCAACCTTTACCTATTTTTTTTTTGTTTTTAAGTTATTTTACGACAGTTACACCAAACCAAACTAAGAAGAATCAGTCCAGGAAATAAAATCTTTTAAGCGACGCATGCCACTTTCTTCATAATTTACAAGTATTTCCAAGGAATAGCTTTGGGATATTAACTTAAAAACCAAAAACACTTGGAAGTTTTGTACAAGAATAATCTAATAGCTGCTGAGTTAGTTGAAATTGTTCAACAGCTACTAATTGTAGGCTACTATGAGACTGAATGTCAACCAACCCGTACATATTTAAATCAACTAGCTCTTTAAATTAGAGTGCATTTCCTTTTTTCTGGTCATATGCAAACATGTTGTAATTGTTTAGATGCGAGCTACTCAGATCCGCTCGGTCCTCAAGAGCGACCTCGGACTGCGGCCCGGAGCAGGAGCCAGGTTGACGATGAGTTCGGAGATGAAGACCTTGCAGAGTTTTTGTTACCAGAGTAGCTTTTAAGTTGCGTAGTCTTAGAAAATAAAAATACCAAAGATGTGACAAAAAAGTTTTCTTCAAGATTATGAACCTTTTTCTAGGTTACCAGACAAATTTCAATCAGACTCTGATAAATAGTAGGATAGTTTAGGAGAAAAAGGTTCCTAGTAATGTCGAATGTAGAGAAAATTTAAAGGAATTGTTGAGACTGCAGGGATTTACAGAAACCCCTAACCATTCTGCATGAAATAAAAAACATAATCAAAAACATTGAACCGATAAGTTACTACATCTAAAACCCTAACTATACAGCTGTGCAGCAACGGCATGTAAAGGTGGTAATGAAACAAAGCCATCACCTATGAGCGTTGCATAGTTGGTGTGATAGTTGTCTGCTTTTCATCAGGATGTAAATTAAAACAAACTGGTATGGTACAACCACAGTAAATACACAGGTTTTGGTCATGGAAAAAGGTATGGTGGTTATAGGTACATAAGCTTGTCGGGCAAAGTATTCTTGTGATACTTGTAAGAACCTTGAGTAATGAGAGTGGTGAGATAGCTCTGTTTGAGACAGGCTAAGTTACATCACACACAGATACTGTGGTCTGAATATGATCCAAAACGAAAAAAAAAAACAGCTGCTATGTGAGAGTATGAACCTCATTCAGGGCCACTGGTGTCGGTGTTTTTTCCCGAACATGTGAGTCTTTTGGCGCAGCTCAATATACAACTCCCCGCTACTTTACATATAACTTCTTATTAAAAAAGTGAATACATCAACAAATGTACAATTTTAAATGAATAAATTTAATTAGAGGAAATAACAAATATATAGGCCTAAATTGATCTACGTTGTGGAATGAAGCAATCAAACCCTTTCTGCGTTCCCGCCCTGTCATTTCTGGTAATAGGCTAAAGAAGGACTTGGACGATGATTTTGATGGATTAAATAATAATACTGTATGTTCCTTAGAAATATCTAGTAGTGAAGTAGTAATGATGGCGGATGGAAGTCGCTTAATGTTCCAGAATAACAAAACTATGTGTACCGTACTGTCTATGAGATTTAAGAAGTTTCTCTTTAGCCAGGGCGATTTGGAAGTTATCAAACACTAATTGCAGACGCTGAGCATGACGACGCCTTGACAGTTTATGGTAACAAAAATACTAAACTGTGTTTTGATTTGTTTCTATTATTTGTGGGGCTAACAAACTTGTCGAGTGTGATTTTATATTCATATAAGAAATGTTAACACTGCTACTTAGCCTCCACCCATTTTATTTATTTTTTATTCAATATTTCACTTTTTAAAATAACTTATGAATAAAACTCTAAATTTTGCAAAATAATGTGTTTGTCTATATATACTCTAAAATGCAATGTACATATACTATCAATAGAAAAAAGTTAAAATCTCAGTTTCACTTTTACAATCAGTTTTGTTCCGAACAAATACAAACCATTATTTTGTAATTACCTTTTGTTTTCACTAAGCCTTAAATCATTACAAACGTTTTATAAAACTGTCAATCTATCATTGACCTTTTACTTGCCACATATTCAACACAACATAGGTCAACATTGCACATATTTTTTTATCAGGTAGCATGTCTCTGTACGCATTGACTGACATTGAGAATGAGGCCCTCAACTCTGTGGAAAAATAACATGTTGAGGATACAAAATGAATGCTGGACGATGGATAGTAACATGGAAAACCAGGGTGTCTAGTTTATTTTCATTATAAAATTCAAGACTAATTCCAGACTTTTCAAGACTAATTCCAGATTTTTCAAGACTAGTTTTTTCAACAATTAGTGCGTGTTGATACCAAAATGTATCGATTCTCGATTCTTGATACTGATACCAATTTTTATAGCTTAACCAAATTTTCTGAATAATACTACACCAACCCCCGTCTTTGTCATAAAGTAGTATTATGATAATGTGGGGTTTTCAAGTAAAGAAATAATGCAGCAATAAAAAATTCTAACTAGCAAATTTGTTTTTTTTTATCATGAAATCTTCCACGTACCGTACGTTTAGACATCATCATTGACTGCAGCGGTTACAGCAACGTGATCGTTGTCGTCCGCGATCACGGCAAAATCATGAACATTTCCCGCGGCCTTGTTGACTTTAATGACATCATCGTCGTCTCCCGCTGTCTCAGAAACGTCATCGTCATCGTCCGCGATCGCGGCAAAATCATGAACATTTCCCGCGGCCGTGTAGACATCATCGTCGTCTCCCGCGGTCACGAAAACGTCATCGTCGTCTCCCGCGGTCACGGAAACGTCATCGTCGTCTCCCGCGGTCACGGAAACGTCATCGTCGTCGTCCGCGATCGCGACAAACTCATGAACATTTCCCGCGGCCGAGCAGATATCATAGTCGTCTCCCGCGGTCACGGAATCGTCATCGTCGTCTCCCGCGGTCACGGAAACGTCATCGTTGTCGTCCGCGATCGCGGCAAAATCATGAACATTTCCCGCGGCCGTGTAGACATCATCGTCGTCTCCCGCGGTCACGGAAACGTCATCGTCGTCGTCCACTATTGCGGCAAAATCGTGAACATTTCCCGAGGCCGTGTAGACATCATCATTGGCTTTTGCAGTTACGTAAACGCAAGACGACGATCGCGGCAAAATCATGAAAATTCCCGACTTTGAAATCAAATTTAAGACTAAATCCCGACTTTCAAGACCATTTTGAAATTCAAGACTAATTCCCGACTTTCCCGATTTTCCCGACTACTAGACACCCTGAAAACACTGTAAAGAAACTTATTTGTGGGCGAAGATGATACATCGACTGAGGATTTTGACGCTGATTTCCATTTTTTCACTTGTGTCACTACAAGTAGGTAGTAATACAGGTATTCAAAAATTTGTTTCAAATATTGACATAGTAGCCTATTGTTTTTTAAGGAATTATTACCTAAGATTTTATCAGGAAAGTATGTAAAATTAATAACAAAATAACTTAATCATACTTAATAAAAGTAAATAAACAGATTTTCAGGATTTTGGGAAATAGTTTTTGAATACATTTAAATTGTTTTGAATGCAAATAGTTCAAAAACTATTTGTGCCTTCAATCCTGTAGATCAGTTTATTTACCTTAGTTAATTAATTTTAAGTATGATTATTTTGTTATTATCTTTACATACTAGTTCAATCTCATTCTGCTTCTTAAACTTAGAGTAGACACAAGTTAGTGCTCGTCTGGCTATCAGAAGGTTGCCAATTCAATCTCGAGAAAATTCCAAAGCTTTTTAATGGTTTGAAACTAGACGCAGTTGTCCTTGATTGTTGGGCTTACTCATTCAACAATAGTTTTTGCCTTTAAATAAAGAAAGATGTTTTCTTTTTTAGGATAGGCCTACTAATCTAAAATTTTGACCTAATGGTAAAAAAAATTAATTTACAAACAGAAAAAAATTACTGTAATAAATGGAATCTACTTTTTAGCCCTTGACAAAAATGTAAGTACAAGTGCTGAAGTACAACATGTTCATTAAAAGACAAATAATAAAGTACCGTACATTTGAATTTGATTTGACTCTCTCCCGCAAGACGTGTGCTGCATGGTGAACGAGGAAATTGCGTATAGATCCTACAAGGCGATGTAAGTGGAGTGGTGGAATAATGCATCACAGATCAACAGAAGCCGTTTTAATTATAACACTTTGTTTAGCTTCTGCTTACAATAAAATTGGAGTAAATATCATGACACAAACTGAATCAATCAATAAATACGATAATAAAGTAAGAAATGAAGTAAAATGAGTACTAACTTAACTAATGTTAAACCTACGACATAAATTAATTTTGATCAAAAACCAAGCCTAACAAAACTACATTTTAACGAGGGGAAAGAGAAAAATTTTTGATTTCATTTAGTTCCTCATATACACAACAATACTGCTTCAACACCATTTATCAAATATATACAAACATTAGAACGCTTACCAATAATTTAACAAGTGTCGAATTAAGCTTAGAAAATTAGAAACGTTTAGCAAATCCTCAAGGAACATTTCATATAAAACTACTTTCGAAAATTTTCACTGTTACTTGACACACACACCCCGTGAGTATTTTTCGGTGAACGTGATGTTTAAGAACCAGAACATAAAGGACACCAGGATCGTTCAATCATATCTAACAACTTATAAGATCCAGATTGTGCTGAGGTTTGCCACAGTTATCTGTTCGTTGGCACAAAAGTTTTCATCTCCTCACTAGGTTATGTCGCTGAACTGGGGGCAAACTTGGGTTGTATGATGGACGTCTTGCGAGCAGGGACAGACTCCGGTGTCGGGATGGCTTCACCGGTGCCAAACGCCAGATTGGCCTGAGGCGCTTGCTGCTGTCTCATCTTCATCCCTGTCGTCTGCTTTGCCATTTGATAATCACCAGAGTCAAAGTATTTTTGCTGAAAATAGAACAGTATTGTTAAAATGCTGGATGAATTGCCACCCCTAACATCAGTTGGCGCCTTTTTTATAGGCTGAAGCAAAACATGGTGAAAAAACAATGAGAAATGGCACAAAAAAACAATCTGTAAGATTTAGACTTATTCATTAATTAATCAACCTAGGTAACTGTATAGCAAAAAATATAGCCTAGGTAGTTTATTCAATGAATAAAATAAACTAGGCCTACTGCTGTTCATTTTCCAGCCTTTGGTTGTTGTATTTGAGCTTGTATCAATTGAAGACACTTTTTGCACCCTATTGACAATGAGTGTATACCAGTAGGTTAAACAATTGTTGAACACTTTCACTAAAACAGGCCCCTATATATATAGTGAAACAAAATTTCAGCCAGTATTTTCACACATTCAATGAACAGGGTATCTTGAAACGCCAAGAGTTGACAGTCTACAATGAAATTTTCCAAACTATAGTTTACCAATTTAATTATGATTCTGTTGCATATTGTATTTTGAATTATATAATCAACCAGGAGCACATTTTACATTACATTCGCACAGTTTTTGCTACAGAGATACACAAGATATTCTTACCCCCTTGGCCAGTTTCTTCGCTAGGAATGCTGAATGTCCACTTAAAGGAGCAACTGGATATTTGGCTTTTAATTTTGCTTCCTCCATCTTTTCAACTTCACCGGTTGTCATCTAAAAAACGCTAACTTATTAGTAAAATTACAATGAGATAGTCGGTAACGTTCAATATTTAGTAAGAACAGTAAGTAACAACATTTACAATCAGACACACATTCAGGATAGGCTAGTTAACACGTTCACTGCTAAAAACCTTTACACAGGCGCTCCTAAACTGCGGCGAGGCCCGGGCGGAGCCCCGGCACACTAACTGAATCAGCGATCACTATTGGCATTGAAATATCTCAGTAAGACAAATCATAAAAGAGCAGTGGTGATTGCTCTGCATACCCCCAAAGTGGACGTAGTACACTGAAATACCCAAAGGTAGCCTAGCAGCACTGCCTAGATCAATAACCAGTCTTTGTAATATGGCTCAAATAGAAAAAATCCCCGAAAACGGGACAAAAGCATTGCCAGACGGGATTTTACAGGAATGTTTAATACCAACCTACACCAAAATAAAGCTCACATTCTAAGCTAGGCCTATAGGCTGGTAACAATTAAACAATGTTCCCCGGCTATGCCTGAGCTCACATTGAAAGCAAAGTTGTTGGCATTGGTGAAGGACATTTCCCGCCCCACACCAGTGGCACCGGTACCGCGGGCAAGAATTTCTGCCCCTCGCACTGAGTTGGGCTAGTCTTTAGGTACCTACCTCAGAGGCCAAATAAAAAATTAGTTTTTTTGGTGGAGATTATTGATGTAAATGGGCCTAAATTTTTAAAGGTTCACCAATCCAAACGATAAAAGGAAATGAGGCTTCTGATTGAACATTTTTAATGAAGCCATATGAGTAAGTCTTTTTTGGATCTTTTTAGGACAAAAAGTTATCTTCTAGGCTAAGGTTTAGAGACCATAGGGAAATGATTGGATAGCCTACATCAATGAGATTTTTCTTAGATGGACTATGCTAAGCTTAATTCTCACCTCAGGTTTGACAAACACGTGGTCGTTGTTGGACTCAGAGCTTTGATCCTTGGTTTGAGACATGTTTTCAGCGTCTTGTTCTGACATACTGTAGATCTCAGAGACTTAGTTTAATCTATCCTGAAAAATTGAATGTTTGTGAACACAGGATCACTTATGAACACAAATAACTTAACGAAGATATAACTTAGACTAGATATCAATTGTTATGAATATTGACTCCAGTCAGTGGACAAACCGTGTCGCTGATATTGATGGTGGAGTTGGAAAAGGGAGAAGGCAACATCCTTCTTTGCAAACTTCAAGGCCTTGACAGAGGGCTTAAATGTAGTGCACAAGTTTAGGGCATTATAAAAACATAGCAAGGGATTTAAATGCTAATTTCATGAAACATTATAGGCTAACTTACACTATTAGCCTAATTGATAAACTTAATAAGAGTTCAAATTCATTGAGTTAAAACTTAATGGTGGTTTAAAAAATAGGCTAGGCCTACACCTAACTTAATATTTAAATGGAAGGCCCTTATTCGCTTGAGTTCAAAAGATTGGCCCCTGAGGCCTATACAGCTTTAAGGTTAAAGCTGCACGTTGCAGGCCAAAGTGAAATGTTGAAACGTTCCCGCAAAATCATTCCCAAGACACTTGTGTGAACCTGGCAATAACTTGGCAATAAGTAGTAAGCACGCCCGCTAAAATCTATTGCTGGCCGTTTTGCGGAAAAATACGGCCACGAAACATATTACCGATAATATCAACAGATAGAGAACACTTTAACGGACACGACAGTATAACATCATGTACCTGGGGAGTAAGTTAAGGCTGATAAACTCAGCAATAAGTAGTGCGCACGCCCGATAAAATCTATTGCCGGCCGTATTGCGGGAAAATACGTCCGCGAGCAATAATAACGACGATGCCAACTGATAGAGGACACTTCAACGGACACGACAGTATTAACATCATGTACCTGGGGAGTAATATAGGGGGGGTAAAACCAGCAATAAGTTGTGCGCGCGCCTTTTCAAATCTATTGCTGGCCGTATTGCGGAGAAATACGTCCGCAAGCAATAATAACGACGATGCCAACAGATAGAGGACACTTCAACGGACACGACAGTATCAACATCATGTACCTTGGGAGTAATATAGGGGGGGTAAAACCAGCAATAAGTTGTACGCGCGCCCTTTCAAATCTATTGCTGGTCGTATTGCGGAGAAATACGTCCGCTAGCAATAATAACGATGATGCCAACAGATAGAGGACACTTCAACGGACACTTCAACGGACACGACAGTATCAACATCATGTACCTTGGGAGTAATATAGGGGGGGTAAAACCAGCAATAAGTTGTACGCGCGCCCTTTCAAATCTATTGCTGGCCGTATTGCGGAGAAATACGTCCGCCAGCAATAATAACGACGATGCCAACAGATAGAGGACACTTCAACGGACACGACAGTATCAACATCATGTACCTGGAGAGTAATATAGGGGGGGTAAAACCAGCAATAAGTTGTGCGCGCGCCCATTTGCTGTGCTGTGTATATAAACCACAACTTATTGCTGGTTTTACCCCCCCCCCCCCCTATATTACTCCCCAGGTACATGATATTGACACTGTCGTGTCCGTTGAAGTGTCCTCTATCTGTTGGCATCGTCGTTATTATTACTCGCGGACGTATTTTTCCGCAATATGGCCAGCAATAGATTTTATCGGGCGCGCGCACAACTTATTGCTGGTTGTACCCCCCTATATTACTCCCCAGGTACATGATATTGACACTGTCGTGTCCGTTGAAGTGTCCTCTATCTGTTGGCATCATTGTTAATATTGCTTGCGGACGTATTTTTCGGCAATACGGCCAGCAATAGATTTTATCGGGCGTGCGCACTACTTATTGCTGGTTTTACCCCCCCTAAATTACTCTCCAGGTACATGATGTTGATACTGTCGTGTCCATTGAAGTGTCTTCTATCTGTTGGCATCGTCGTTATTATTGCTCGCGGACGTATTTTTCCGCAATACGGCCAGCAATAGATTTTATCGGGAGCGCGCACTACTTATTGATGGTTTTACCCCCCTAAGTTACTCCCCAGGTACATGATGTTTATACTGTCGTGTCCGTTGAAGTGTCCTCTATCTTTTGGCATCGTCGTTATTATTGCTCGCGGACGTATTTTTCCGCAATACGTCCAGCAATAGATTTTATCGGGCGCGCACACTACTTATTGCTGGTTTTACCCCCCCCCCCTAAATTACTCCCCAGGTACATGATGTTAATACTGTCGTGTCTGTTGAAGTGTCCTCTATCTGTTGGCATCATCGTTATTATTGCTCGCGGACGTATTTTTAGCGCAATACGGCCAGCAATAGATTTTATCGGGTGCGCGCACTACTTATTGCTGGTTTTACCCCCCCTAAATTACTCCCCAGGTACATGATGTTGATACTGTCGTGTCCGTTGAAGTGTCTTCTATCTGTTGGCATCGTCGTTATTATTGCTCGCGGACGTATTTTTCCGCAATACGTCCAGCAATAGATTTTATCGGGCGCGCGCACTACTTATTGCTGGTTTTACCCCCCCTATTATTATTATTATTATTCTTCGTCATGAGAGCCGAAGGCCCCTGACTACATACCCGGTACCTATCGTGAGACATACCCGGGCCCCATGATGAAGGCCGAAGCTTACGCATCAACCTTTAGCACATCATGGGCGGATGACTTAAGGTCATCAGGCTCACCGGCTGCCGAAGCAGACCCATCGGAAAGAGGGTTGCCCCTCAATCCTAACCAGGGATTCCGGCTACTTGTTTAAGCGTCACTCCACCTGGGTTCCACCAGGTACAAAGCCCTAGAGGACCATAATGGAGCGCCCCGACGCATTTAATGCAAGGAACACTCGGGACCTATCTAATCCCTGACAGGCAGAACCCGCCATCATAGCCAGAAGGAAGGGGACCGTCAGCACGCTGACGGGGGAACCCCAACCTCCCATTTACACCACTACCCGATCGAGGCCTTACCCAGTTGCTGGGAAACCAGAGATAACCAGAGCGATAGATCCCCAGATACCCCTGGCGGGCTCGGACCCAGCACCCGATCTACTTCGTTTGCCCGTCAGACCCAACATCACTGCCAGGCCATCAGGGTTTCCCAAAAGGAGGCAGGTATAGAAGTGGGACCCACCCGGATGAACCTATCCACCAGAGGTGGCGACACCCTTGACTCTATTGAGGTTCCGGGAAGAACCCCCACACTCAAGATAACCATACCGTCCGTGATCAGAGACAGGGATTGGTTTGCATAAGTGCCTACAAACCGTTACCCTCACACTGCGGAAAGTTACGTTTTCCTTGAGTGTCCCCGTGAGCTATGGGTACTTGCCCGTTTTCACCTCCAGGAAAGGCTACTTCCAAAGTCGAGGATTTGCCACACTGAATGCTGGTCGCACACAACAAGCAGGCCGAAACCCAAAGAACCACAGACACAGGTAGGTTAGAGATTATGATGCACTTCCGTCTCTCCTAGAGCTAAACACCCCTCCATCCTGGATGAAGGAATGTCACTGGGACCCAATGCCCAGTCGTCCATGTCTGTGGCCTACTTGAAATGCCAATACCAACACCGAGCAGTTACCTCCCCTTTGGGGGCTAGGTTTTTCACCTCCCAGGACGAGGCTACTTCCAAAGTCGAGGATATGCCTCACAAAATGTTAGTCGAACACAACAGGTAGGACGAGCCCGAAGAACTCAAGTCACAACCACAGTTACAGGTAGGTGAGTGGAGGCGGAATTAACGGCGTCACTGAGAGCTAAACACCCCCCCACCCTGAATGGAGGGAGTGTCACTGGAGGCTCCCCAGTATAAGTATAAAAGCTTTTACCCCCCCTAAATTACTCCCCGAGGTACATGATGTTAATACTGTCGTGTCCGTTGAAGTGTCCTCTATCTGTTGGCATCATCGTTATTATTACTCGCGGACGTATTTTTAGCGCAATACGGCCAGCAATAGATTTAATCGGGCGCGCGCATTACTTATTGCTGGTTTTACCCCCCCTAAATTACTCCCCAGGTACATGATGTTGATACTGTCGTGTCCGTTGAAGTGTCCTCTATCTGTTGGCATCGTCGTTATTATTGCTCGCGGACATATTTTTCCGCAATACGGCCGGCAATAGATTTTTTTGCTCGCGCCCACTACTTATTGCTGACTTTACCCCCCCTTTCTTATCCCCCAGGGACATGATATTGATACTGTTGTGTCCGTTAAACTGTCCTCTATCTGGTGACATCATCGGTTTCATGTTACGCGGTCGCATTTTGCCGCAAAACGGCCAGCAATAGATTTTTTCGGGCGCGCGCACTACTTATGGCTGGAGTTATTGCCAGGTTCACACCAATTCCCAAGACTGATCCCTGAGGAATGCCATGTTGGATTGTCAGAGGTCTTGACTGAACACTGCTAAGTGATATCACTTGCATAGCAGTTTTATAGCCATATACTATAGGCCTAGGCTAGTCTAACTTAATAAGGCTATATAATTAAGTTAACGCCTAGCCTACCAAAATTGGCAATAACATTGAGGTCTAGCAGGCATTAAGGCCTAATAAGACTTATTATCAGTTGGATCAATTCAAAATTATTGATGATAAAATAGGCCTAGATAAATATGATTAGCCTATGTTAAGCCTAATGTTCCTCAGAGACCATAAGGCCTAGGCCTACCTAACTTACCTTATCACAGTTTAAACTTCTCTGTAAACTGTCTGTTCAACTAATTGACATGAGTTAACAGGAATGTAACAGATGAATAATCTCAACAGTAAATTTTAATCTTGTGGACACAAATTGACTTTATAAAAATAATAGAACTGTGTCAATCAACATGAAAGAACATAAGTTAAGTTAGCTACCTACTGAAGACACGACACTATGCTTAATATCTGAGCCTTAGCGGAGGGTATTTGTTTAGAGATATAGTTTTTAAGACAGATGAAGCATACCAAAATGAATTTTGAAGACTAAAAGTGTAGAATAACTTACCCCCTACAGCAACAGGAACCTTATTCAAGATCAAGAATTCAAGCAGTCACTCAATTATCTTCAACTTCAACTTTTTTTTCTTTTACTTCTCTTCTCTTGTTCTCTTCCCTTCTTCCTTCTCACGATCACGACCCCCCTACTACTGGAGTCTAAACCTTCGCTAAATCATCACGATGTTGTCCCCTGGCGCTGCGGAGTGGGGGAAATGATTCTCCCTCCCCTCCACCTCCCCTGTAGACGGCGTCCAAACAAGCCCGCGTTGTTTTACATGCATATCATATACCTATGCTGCAGTTTTTCAATAAGTTAAAAAATGAATATTTATAAAATTAAACTGTCATAAACTAACCTAACCAACCAAACATGCTGATTATTTAAAAAATCGAATGAAGGTTTACTAATCGAAAAAATAGTTCTGTTCATAAAATAAAATTATAAATGCCTTGAATTCAATTTTAGAATTTATTAATTATAAAATTAAACTGTCATAACCTAACCAAACCAACCAAACTTGCTGATAATGAAAAATCGAACAAGGTTTACTAATAGAAAAAAATAGTTCTAAAATTATAATAGCTCAAATTTAATTGTATAATGTTTTAATTAACAAATTAAACTGTCATAACCTAACCAAACTTGCTGATAATGCAAAAATCTTAGACAAAAAGTTAGTGCTACCGAGAGGATTCGAACCTGGTACCTTCAGATCCTCAGCCCGGCACGCTATCCATTAGACCACCGAGGCCGGTGGCTACAAACCGTATCGTTGCGGTAATGGTGTTCCCTCAGCCAATAGAATGCTTTGCTTCCCCCACTCCGCAGTGCCAGGGGACAACATCGTGATGATTTAGCGAAGGTTTAGACTCTAGTCTTCCACGTTCCGTGGGTTACTGGGTTCCGTGTTCCGTATTCCACTCCGTGTTCCGTGTTTACTAAAATTGTGTCGGATTCTAAACGAAAGCGATCCACGACTTTTATTCTCTTGCTTTTTGGTTATGAAAGGAAACTCAAAATACTTTTTGTAATTAATAATATAAAAACATTTACAAAAACATTACCATACAATCGTGGATAAAATGCCTATTTTATATCGGTAGTTAATATTTTATCCCAAACTCATTATTACTTCTAACTGTATTGTAACACGGCCACCTTTAAAGGTGGCCGTGATCGTACAAGTAGACGATTTTGCTGTTAGTTTGTCATGGTCTTTGCTTCACCTCCATCGAGAGAATGCTTATTATGGCTTATTAATAGAAAAATGAAATGTAAAAAGGTATAAAATACAATTTTCTGTTTGTAATATTGAGCGGAGCAAGCATTGATCCAACGCAAGAACGTAATAACCGCGATTAGATTGTTTCCAATGAGCTCGGTTTAACCATAGATAAAACATACTTTTAACGTAAATGAGATGTCTACTGTACTTTCGGTATCATACCCTAAATCAATGGTACAACTGGTTCAAGAAAATGGGATGTTTACTTGCAGTATTCAAAGTCAGTAGTAAAATGTATATCCCTTTGTATTATCATAGACTAACCAACCAACACAAGTACAGACTTCCCATCCCATTGTAAATTTTGAGGCTCATTTTTTGTGTCTAGTTCATGTCCGGTGACACTTGGCGCTATTGTCGACGAAATTTTGTTTATATTATTTTAGGGTTAATGTAATGTTTTTTTGCTTTACTGTTTTGTTATTGTTTATGATTAAATCGTTTTGTTTGGTTAAACGAGGTTTTAAATTACTGAAATAACAAGAAACAAATTGTAACCAGAACACGACATCTAACCGGACAGAACTATCAATAAAATACGCTTCAGCCATGATGGAAGTTCCATAAGGATGAAAAACTTCTAAACTAGTCTTTTTTATCTATGGTGCTATTGAATTTTAATATTGACCTTGAATATTGACTCTCAAAGTTCTGTCCGGTGCACTGTTTCAGGTCGTGTATAAATTAATGCTTCCTCACTTCGTATACCTGCAGTATCCAAAGTCAATGGTGCATAGGCTCTTATTGGTTACTAATAATAGATTAAATACCTTTTACGTCTTCAATCCTAGTAGTCTTTTTCTGATGACTACAGTTTCGGGGCATTCAGCCTCCATTGTCAAATCTTCTGTCTTGTTAATACTGTCATGTCAATAATGTGTACCGGTCCGCACGATGTAGTAATTTGTTTAGGCCGGTCATATAAGTATTAAAGGTAAATTGTTTCTTGTGACAGTGTGTGTATGTATACTCCATGTTGAATGCAACGACCAATGCTTTTAACAGTAATTAACAAGACAAAAATTCGACAATGGGGCTGATTGCCCCGAAACTATAGTCATCAGAAAAATACGACTAGGATTGAAGACGTAAAACGGTATCCATCCGATTATTAGTACTCTTTATCAATCCAGGCAAAACAGGATATAAATTGGTTATTCATTTTGTAGTATATTATGCTCAACGGTTAATTCGAATGCTCTTTAAGTTGTTTAGTATTTGCAATGTGCTTGTACAAATTGCTTTAGACTTGATGTGGTGTATTGTATTGGTTTATTGGTAACTATATGACTGTGCTAAATTTCGTGCGGATCGCATCAGACTCAGACTTTCAGGAGGAGTGTTTCTGTTTGTTCAAAAGCAGGAGTCCTAACCCTAAGTAGGCAATAAAGAGCTTTGATAGCACCAATAAATTATATTGTCAGGATCGTGTTTACTTATCCATACATAGGGAAAATTATTGTCGACAAGAATAGTAACATATTCCCTCTCCCCTCAAAACGTTTTTTTTTTCGGAATGTATCCGACATTTTAGCGAATTTCCGAAAAGGTTGAAAAATCTTATGGTAGGATATAGAGCTTAGACAGATTTTTTTTTTTTCTATGTCGCCAGATGCCAAAAACCCTTTATTTGTTAAAATTCACAAACACAAACACACACATATTATGTTTTTGTATGTGTGTGTCCGGTAGTTTTGAAGAAATCTGGTATATACCTGTTTATTCGCACGATTTTGCTAACCAGCATTATCGATCAGTGGAAATGGGATTTTAATGGAGGTTTCCCATTTTACCCGCTCTAAAATAAAAATTTGTGATATTCTAAGCCATTTTGTAGAAATTAAAAACAAATGTTTTTGTACAGTGAAGGAATTAATGCTGTTAATTAATATAATGTTGCCGGCAGAATGTCGAGTGTATGGTTACCTGTCATTGTTTTGCATTACTTGTTTTTTTTGTAGTATTATGCAGTATATCACTATAAATAAATAAATACAGTAGTAATAATAAGTATTTCAAATAACTGATACCACTCAGTCATAATAGAAGTTAAAGTTATTCTGTACAATTGACTATAAATTGGTAATGCGATTTATAAAGACTTTTCTAAAAATTGACCAGAAAAAATTTAGAATACCTTGTTTTTCACGGATTTATAAGCCCTTTTTAGCGAATTTCCCATATAGGGAATAAGCTATTTTAAATATTGTTGTTTAAAATGAAAGCAAGAATATGTGAAATTCCCAATACTTTTTAAACCATGTGAAATTCATACTACTGTAGTTTGTAAATGGTCTAGGATTATATAGAAACAACGTAAACCTTTGTATAGTTATTTAATTGCAGTCAGTTGTTCCAAGCTTCTTCCAAGTTGACTTTGAATCATCTGCAGTAGAGATTCTGTGACATTTTCTGCACTCTCACCACTCCATGTGTAAGATTGTATTTTAAGCTGAGTAGGAAATGTCCGGAAAATATTAGTGTATCTGAAACAGTTTGTAAGTATCTGTATGATACATATTGACAGATTGATTAGTCTTATAATAACTAAGTTGTTAATTTCAGTTGAATTGTTTTAATTGCACTTAATTTTGACTGAGGGCCCTGAAACTGAAGAGTATTGTGATACTGTATAACTTAAGTAGCTTACCTAAATTCCTGTAATAAGCTTTCTTTAAATTTACACTTGATTCTTTTGACTGTCAATTCAAAGTGTATTTTATAACAAATTTTTAGGGAAGGTTGGGTACAAACCCTGGTCTTACCATTTAATACTATCAATAAATAAAATCATTATTTGACCACAGTCATAGACTATAGAACCAATTGACTTATAAAACATCTGGAGAAGAAGAAAATATCAATTTTGTCCTGTAGGTTCTCAGCTATAAACCTCAATAAAATCCTATTAAAACAAGAAAAATAAAGCTCAAGATTCAGATTTGCTGCAACTGGAAATTATTTTATTTCCAGGGTTGCCCGGAGAGGGGTACAGCATCATTTAAGCCACTGAGATATTTTGGGGGTATTTAATTTTGCACATTGATAATTTTAAATTTTTATCTAAATAGCCATAAACAAGTAATTTTGTTTGGTAATTCTTATACACCCTATTAACACTTCAACACAATAATTTACGCTGTTCACAATTAACATTGTTTTGTAGCAACAACACAATGTCATGGCGATAGCGAGAGATGCTCTTATAATTCTGCCCTGATTGAGGGATACATTGATGATATCTTTAGCGACCGCAGGTTGATGGTGATTTATTGCTGCAATCATTGGTGATGTCTTCACAACCGCAGGGAATTGTCAAGAAATTGCCGCGGTCACGAGGGAAATGTTAAAAGCGTTTCTGCATGAGCGGCAGATGATCTTAGGGCCATGATCAAGAGGTAATTTGTCATGATGACATATGATCATGATGCATGACAGACAGAAGACCATTCTCAGAGAGGATGCAGGGAGAAAATTAGTTTCATTTTTACGATCCCGGAGAGGATACCTGATCTTGTTTGTCCATTTATGGCTATTTTATTATTTTTGGTTTAGGTGAAAAGACCCTCCCGGGCTAATTCTGTTCAATGAGCATGGTCATTTAATTATTCCAAAATTATCCATAAGTTGTCAATATTTTTTTCGTCCGCAAAAAAATTTGTATTGGAAAATTAATGTTCTGAAAACCAGTACATAAAATTCAGGCAAAAAAAATAAGGGGCAGGATTTCTGAATGAATCCCCACCACTTTTTTAGCTTTGTATATATCAGCTGATCAGCTGTAGATTGTTGTTTTAAAGTTTTTGTTAGGGTAAGTAGAGTAGTGGATGAAACAGCTTCCCCTCAAACTTCTACAATTTTGTGAACGGAGTATAGTAAACATTTTGTATTGACAGTTAGCGAGGGTTTTACTTGAGTAAATCCTTGAAATGTTGTTTTCTGTGTGGGGAGGAGGTAGGTTTAAAATGTGGGGGTTGGATAACGAACAGTATAAAATAGGTTGATTTGCACTCCTGGCCTTGTGAGGCACCTCTGACTATTCCATACCTGGACACCCAACCAGCTGGCTTCTCATCACTGATGTTGGGGTCCTCTAGTTCCTCCACAGCCAGCTCTCCCATGTCCAGGAATATCGTCAAGTCCGGCTTCATCAAATCCTTGGGGAACATGTAGACAGAGGAAGTCTCTGGAGGGAGAGGAGAGTCTTCAAACAGATCTGCGAGTGTGGTTGTGGTCCGATCAAACCAGTAACTGCAAATGTAAGGTTAGTGAATTTAATAGATCATCCACCAGTAGCCTTTGAAAATATCATCACAGAGTAGTTAAATGAGTAAAGACATGAGTTTTACCAACATTATGTTCAAACTCATGGGACGTACAACTCTGCAAAACGTTCCATTTCCATACTAAATAGTAGAATACACTTAGGCCTATAATAGTCTAACATGATTGTGTTTTGAGTACTGACCCAGTCATAACCACAGGTCGTTTCACCCAGTGTACTTTCACTGCATGGGACATCCCATACAGTCCCAGAGCGTAGTACACTCTGTGTAGCTCGTGTTGGGGAGATCTGTAGATGTACCAGGCAGGCATCAAACACTTCGGAGGATTCTCTACAAACTGACCCTTGATACGAGCTGCAAGAGCCTTCGCCACCTTGTCTCTAGCTGGAAAAATCGTCCAATTTCATGATGGTACATAAACACTTAGTTTTTAAGTATCCTAGCTTTGTAATAGTATCTCAGTGTTTGGATACATGTACATTGTGTATAAATTTTCATCTTTTAGAAGAAGTAATGTCCTGTGCACCTAAATGAACATTTCTCCAATATTTTTATATTTATCATACTGATAAATTACGAGCGCTCAAGAATCTATATAATTAATACGCTACATGAAACTTTGTCGGTTGAACTCCTCCGCCATTTCTTAACCGATTTTATCCATTGACGTCTCATTGGAAAGAGCGTGTCGCGTAGATTTGCAAACTGGCCTTACATTTTTGAAAAAGTCCCTTGGCCTCTCCCCCATTGGCTTTGAAAGTTCCCATGTTATCCTTATGGAGAACACAATTGTTTACATTTTGATCAGCTGTATAATTTAATTGCTGTTATTTATTTTATTTTTCAATCCAATGAAACACATTGAGTACATTTATTTGAGTTTGTGTAAACATAACCCCCAAGACGGATCGTGTTAGTATGGTTGTATCTTAAATTTGTGTATTTATCGTTGTTTTGTGTCGCTATGACGGATCGAGTTAGCATGATTGTAACTTAAATTTGTGCATTTATCGTTGTTTTGTCTAGCTATAATTTGTTTATTTGTTGTTTTTCCTTTTAAATGCCTCCGACGCGACGACAACGAAACATAGACAAGAGGCGTAATCGTGATAACGACCGCAGCTACAGAACAGTGACGCGTAAAGGGAGTTATTATACATCGATGGTAATATAGGATTAACTCATCACATTCAGCACCTGACCCTGGACAATCTCAACTAGGTAACAAATGCTCCCTAACACTACCCCAAAACGACTTTTCGTTCTCAATTGGCCCTCTATCAATGACCTGTATTGCCTGTACAACGAGGAACTTTGAGAAGGAGAAAATCGGCCGGAATGCTTTAGGTTTATCAATAACGAAGATAAATATGATCTGAGTTACACACCGGTAATCTTTGAGTTGACTCTTTTAAACTCATTGTAAATATGACTGTTATTCGTTTTGAAATAACTCCTGTAATACTTTGCAATTGCTCGAATTCGAGCAACATGTACACTAGTCTCTTATTAATACCTTAAGTTATTATAGTAATCGTAATAATCACAACTTAGCGGTAAAAAGTCCCTCTTCAATCATCCAACTCAGAAAGGAACCCATCAAAATTTCCTCAAAACAGTACTAACCAGAGGGCTGAATAACCCCCAGGGACCGACCCCACTAATCAAGTCACACAAAAACTGGTACCATTTTACAGATACTTTTCAATTATAAAAAAATATCCATAGGGGAAATTAAGATAAATCTTTTGTATCATAGCTATTTGTTTAAATCACTTCTTGATCAGTATAGTGCATGTTAATTAAATAGACTTATTTTCATGTTATATTGATTGGCAACGTTTATAATAAGACAATCAATTGTGTACAGTAGCGTACAGTATTAAAATATTGGTTAGTGTACTAACCAAACCATTTTTTAACAGCTGTTTAGCAAATCAGCTGTTCGCATGATGTGCCACCAGTTTCTTATTGGTTCAGTTCAGTTGTGTCATTGTTGCCTTTGTTCGCGTAGTTGCTCGTTGAACGGAACTTTACAATGTATTTTCGTGTTTCTACGCGTAGTGTTCATGTGTGTGCGTGTCCTTGTATGTGTTAGTGTCCCTATGAGTCTATGGTGTAGTGTTTGTGAGTGTTTTAGTAGACATTTACTTAAATGTATGTACTGATGATTCATTGCAGGGGTAAGTATATTTTTAACAAAACTGTAATTTTATTTATATAGATTACTGTACTTATCTTTTACGCCAACCCCACTTTTTGCAGAAACATAAAAAGTTAATTAGTCTATGCAATAGTCCTACTTGAATTCTTATTACCTATATTACTGATTAATAGTTCTATTATTCATATAGCTTATTTCATATCATTAAGATAACAACTAAAGCCAAAATACTAAAGTGCTTTGTTTTACATAGTAATATAGCCTTGATGAAACCTTAGGTAGGACTTGTGTAATTCATTATTGAAGGATATAAATGAAATGCCACTCATATAAAAGACACCTCAGTGCATCCTTAAGAAAATCATGAGTATCATAACATAATTTCATATATTTTAAAGTTTCTGTTTAATATTTGTTGCAATGTTATTACTCAAGCTTTAAAAACATCAATTTACTCTGGGTTATGTGGAGTATTTAGTATTTCAAAGCAAACTTCGCGCTTTTTAATCGTCATTAGCTCTTGTGGCTAAAATTTTATATGGATGTGTTGCAGAAATATGATTATGTTTTTAAAATTCGACAATTTTATGAAAGAAAATATTATAAACAATTTAATATGGATAATTCTTTTGTAGAGTACATGTTATTTAGATAATATACCTGTTACTGTAAGGCTTTTATAGCTTATTAAAGTGCTTGAATATTAAAAACAAAAAAGTTCGTAGGTTACTGGTTGCAGCCGTACCAAAGGTAAGTAAGTGTGTTTATATATTTAGGCCTATGTCTGTTTATGTCGGGTAAAAATTATTAGATGATGATGAAATTAGGTAAAAACGTGGAAAAATACGTCCTAACCAGCATGATCGGACTATGGGAAGGGGGATTCATGGGCAAACGTTGTGGGTTCCCACTTTGAGACTTGCGGTATACATAAAATTTTGCAGTTTGTTTCTTAACTATTTTGTAGAGCTCAAGAAAACAAAGCATTTAGTATTTTGAAGCGCAGTTGTACGTTTTTAGTTACTGAAGAAATTAATAAACAAACTGTAAATTTAAAATAATTAGGAAAATGTTATGGAGAACAAGTCTAATGTTTTCGTTCACTTTTTTTGGATGTATTTGGTTAATTTATCTCATACCTAGCAAATAACATTTAAATAAAAATACGCATTATAGCATTCCTTGTGGCTACAAACCTAAGTACTTTATTAACCTAATGTTATTTATACGAGAAACAAATCTAACATGTTCATGGCGATATTTCAGTAGAAATCCGATCAGGCAAATGGACATTCGGTTACGGTAGGTTTGCCGTAACGGGGGTATTTATTTTTCTAGATGCAAGCCTAGCTGAGTCCGAGTCCACACCCGTAACGTGGGCACCAAACCATTCACATTATTATGAAGCTTACTAATTATATAGTGATTAGCAAGGTTGAAGCCATACACGATAGAGTTTTAGCGTTCTAACCACCAATCCACTAACCATCAATTGCCAAGACACTAACTAAATAAAAGCAGTGTCTATGATCAATAATATCCGTACAACTTTGGGCAACCATCAAACACGTGCATAATATATGTTTGACCTATTCTTCTACACTATATAGGGTGATTGATATAAGTGTGCCAGCCGTTTTATTCGAAAACTATAAGAGATATCAAAAAAAGTTAAATGGTAAGTGCCTTGGATTTTTTATTTAAAAAATTGTAGTCAAGTCAAAAAAATTATTTTACCCGCCATTTTTTCAATATGGCCGCCAACTTTGATTTTTCTTATGGCACACCCTGTATTTTATGATGTATTCTGGTAGAAAATGTAATTTTAAGACGATTTTATTCTTGTAACTTTTTTCATAAACCTAACCGTTTCAAAGATAATAATGGTTAAAGTTTTGAAATTTCTGCATGAGAAAGAGTTTCGATAAAGGCCTAAGCAAGCATGCCAGCTGTTTTATTTGAAAACCATTCAAAATTTCACAACTTAAACCATTATTATCTTTGAAACGGTTAGGTTTATGAAAAAAATTACAAGAATAAAATCGTCTTAAAATTACATTTTCTACCGGAATACATCATGAAATACATGGTGTTCCATAAGAAAAATCAAAGTTGGCGGCCATATTGAAAAAATGGCGGCTAAAATAGTTTTTTTGACTTGACTATAATTTTTTAAATAAAAAATCCAAGGCACTTACCATTTAACTTTTTTTGATATCTCTTATGGTTTTCGAGTAAAACGGCTGGCACACTTATATCAATCACCCTGTAGATTAAACATGGCTTATATTGATCATGGGATAAAGCTAATGTTACTTTTCGGTGAGTTGCTCTCAATGTTGATGAAGGGCTGTCTGTTTCTGTCGGCGAATCTGTTGTCCCAGACTGTGGGCGAGGAGAAGCATTTGTTGATAAACAGACTTCTCATCACTTTGGCGTTGGGGAATTGAACCTAAAACGTGAGAAATTGTGTTTTAGTATGGTACTAGTAACTGTACAACACACGTTGGGTTGTAGGGTTGAAAATGTTTGATGCACCTTACTGTTAGATAATTTTGCTATTGAAATAAAATTGGACCTAGAATCCTTCAATGTAACAAATTTCACTTCTTTGTGATTAAAATATTTTATAGACTAATAAACAGTAATACTACAAGTAAATATGAGGTGAAATAAATACACCTAAAAATGTTTTACTCCATAACTTTGCTTTCATGATAACTTAGACTTGCCACTTCATAGATTTGCATGTAAAGTCACTATTTGAGTTTAGATATAAACCTTCTCCTATTTCAGGACAATCATTACCGTGGGCATTTTCCTTGTTCCAATGGACAAGAAATACTGTAGTTTAAAATAATACAATTCAAATTCTTGAAAATAGTTTTAAATCGTTGAAACAAAGAGGGATGAATATTAAAAAAAAACATTTAAGTTCTCTACAAATACAGGATTAAAAACATACATAAAATCTAATCTACAGTACAATAATACTACATAGGTAATGACACAACTATTAATAAGTAATGAAATGATTTTTTATTTTGTAATTACTTACTGTAGCATCCTGCCATACTTGTAGGATTGAGACCATGTTAAAGTAGAAACATGGGTCGACCCAGCCTTCATGTGTAATTTTAGGTAGACCTAAAAAAAATATGAAAAAAAATTAAATTAAATGCACATGTTTTAATTTTAAAGTGGACCAAATCCTAAATGTATTTTTGAACCAAATCCTAAGTGTACGAGTATAATCAGGGTAATCAGCTGACAAGTAGATAACAAAATAAAATAACTAAAAAATTAAAGAATGTTTGACATACAAACGTAAAAGAAACTGAATAAATGATAAAATGTAAATACAATAACACACGATTATTTATTAATTTAAACAATCTCCCTACACACACAGCTAAATATAGAGGTCGGGAACGCACTCACCTTACGCATTAAGTTTTGTATATTCTTTATCTCGATAAAAATACAATTTTTAAGATGCGTAAGTTTGTTTAGGGTCTTAGAAATAAAAATCAAGTCTACAATTTTAGCACTTTATTTGTTTACGTTTCTTTTATGTAAGGCTTCTTTTATGAAAGAAATCGAATGTCATATTTTCTTGACTCATGTGATACATTCATTTATTCTATGGTGATTATGGCGATACCATCGATTCTAAAAACTATACACAAAAGTCATAACACATCGTCCTGTAATCCAGCTACTAGGAGGTTACGAATTGTGGATATTTATAGGCATACACGGTGGATGCGATACTCCCTGGTGTGGATTAACGTCGGCACGAGTGAGTACTACGACTATCCGCAGTACTATCCTGAAAATTAGACCAATTCGTATATACCAAGGGAAAAATCTGGTTCGGATTCCAATATAAACTGTAGGTCCCTTACTTAGTTGCTATTAGCTGTATGGGCTATTAATTAACAGCTGTGTCTTATGGTCTAAGGAATAAATCGGCCTTAGTCACTAACAAGACTAAATGATCGCGCCACTCATCCTACACTCATCCCCATTCATACTCGGCTTAAAATACATACTTTGTATGGTCGCCATTTCATTGAAAATTATTAAAAGTAAAAAGTATTAAAGTATCACCTTGTTGTCTAAAGTAGCTTTTAAGGGAGTACTGCATTTCATTATAAGTTGAGACCCCCTTTGCACAAGGGGTAAGATACCACTAAATAAATAGTATTTAGGGATAAATAAATAAAATGGCAAAAGAGTATTACGAAAAATGGGTACTAATATAAAACTAACCACAACAAATTTGTCTTACTCAATACATCCTCAGATGGTGTTTCCTCAGGTATCACATATTTCCGTTTCCTTCTGAAAACCCGCCGTCCTCTCCTCCCCTGCCCGGCGGACACAATTACACAAAACAAAAGCAACACAAACAACCTCAACTGTACAGTCGAGTTCATGACAATCAGATAAACTCATTATCAGGAAATAGCATCTAATCTTGGTTCATACTGTTCATTCTACGTTGTGTCTTACTGGCATATAACGTACTGTAAACCTTATTTTTTAGGAGTTTTACTCATTCGCCTAGGTCTATGTGGTATGGACTTAGGATAAAGTTATCTTAAGTTTCCTGCACAAATTCATACAATTGAATTTTAATGTTGATCAATGGGATTACCGAGCAAATAACTTGTCATTTTTTTTGCATTATTTAAAATGGCTGTCAGCTGGCTAGATGACCAAGTGACATGTCGGACAACTCTTTCTTTGTCTTAGGACGCTATTGTCCTAAGTATCCTAAGTGTATGTATCCACAAGTCCGGGATTGTTTTTTACATTACTTCAGGCTGGACTTAGGGGATGCGGCATTATCACTTGGATAAAATCCATTGGTGACTTGGCGAGATGGGTCGATATGTTGAGCGCGTTGAGGAATAGCTTCCGCGTACCAGCATATCTGTTGAGGCTGATCGAGGACTACCTGCGCTGCAGAACTCTTAATTACGAAACTAAAGATGGTTCGCGGACGATGGATGTTACTTCCGGTGCCGCGCAAGGTTCGATACTCGGCCCAGATTTGTGGAACGCTGCCTACGACAGCCTTCTGAGATCTGAGATGCCAGAGGAGACCGTTTTAGTTGGGTACGCCGATGACGTCGCAGCCCTCATTGCTGCACGCAACGTTGAGCTAGCCCAACTGAAACTGAACCAAGTCATGCGCGTTGTAAACGCCTGGATGACTGATCATGGTCTGACACTCGCTCTGAGCAAGACAGAGATCGTCATCCTCACGAAAAAACGGATTGAAACCATCGTTCCGCTACGAGTTGGGAACGTAGTTGTCCAAACCACGCGAACCGCCAAGTACCTTGGTGTCATGGTGGACAACAAGCTGAGCTGGAGGGACCAGATCTTCCGTACGGCGGACAAGGCTGCTAGGAGTGTTGCTGCTCTTAGTAGGCTTATGGCCAATGTCGGTGGTCCCCGGTCCAGCCGTAGAAGACTACTGATGTCTGCAGTCCAGTCCGTGCTTCTCTACGGCTCTGAGGTGTGGGCAGACGCGCTTAACAAGGAGGCGTATAGGTTGAGGCTCGCACGAGTGCAGCGTCAGGCGGCACTCAGGGTCGCTTCCGCGTACCGTACGGTGTCCGAACCGGCCGTTTTGGTGATCGCTGGAGTTATCCCAGTCAAACTCTTGGCAGCGGAGAGGAAGGCAATCTACCAGAGACAAGGCTACATTGGAAAGGACGCTGCAAGAACAGAAGAGCGCTCCCGCACTTTTCAGATGTGGCAAGAAAGCTGGGAAAGGGAGACTCGAGGACGTTGGACTGCCAGACTCATCAGGCAGGTCCAACCGTGGGTAGAACGGCGGCACGGTGAGGTTGACTATTACCTCACGCAGTTCTTGTCAGGTCACGGCTATTTTCAGTCGTACCTGCACTTGATGGCCAAAACGAATTCACCTGACTGCATTTACTGCCCATGCATTCCCGACGACGCGGAACACACTTTTTTCCACTGTCCACAATGGGATATGCTTCGCCAGGAGGCCATTCAACATCTTGGGGTGCTGTCGATTGAATCGATCTGTGAGACCTTGCTGAAGGGTGAGGACAACTGGGACTGCTGGTCGCACTTTGTCCGGAATGTCCTTCAAGCTAAAAAGAATGATCTAGATCGGAACATAGTCTAGATTTGATAAGAAATAAACGGCTAGACACGGCGTAAGCCCCTCGGGCGTAGGCAAACTCGGCCTAGTTCTGATGAAGTGCGACAAGTGTTCCCAGGCTAGTGTCCGAAGAGTAGAGGAGGTTTTTAGTGGGTAGTCTCTGGGCCTTAAGCCCGTTGGAGTCCCACACTACAGGCTAGCAACCTGTGTGCATAAATGCATTTTCCCACCTCTCCCTAAAAAAGATTGGTGACTTGGCGGGATTTGAACCCGGGACGTCGAGGACCCAAGTCCCGCGCTCTAACCGCTAGACCATCTCGCTCCCCCATGTCGGACAACTGGTAACACCCAGATATCACAGGTGTTACCTCGACTTGACCCGGCGAGTATGTCGACGTACTATACCATTCATCTGTGGGTCGTGCCGTGGCGCATGCTCGGCCCCCACACCCACACCCACACCCTAGACTCTCCCCACCCACGTCAGTCAGTACGTGGCTAGCTGCGCGGGTGAACGTGTGTGCGCGTGCGGGTGTCATGTGCTGGATGCGGGATGGCCTCCACCACTCCGCCGACGGAGAAACGCAATAAATACGGTAAACAGGGGATTCTGGAGGTTAGATGTAAGGGAAGAGGGTTGAAATAGTGTGCTGAAATGTAGGGGTCGCTGTCATGAGAAATGTATGTGATTTATGTACATTGCAGACTCTGGTTGTTTCTAACTCGGAAAATTGTATGTTTCGAATGTGTCTCAAACGCTATTGTCACGTATCTACCATCTAACGTTGACATTTGGTTAGAAAGCATTTTTAACTAATAGCCCAATAACAAATGGCACAGAGGACAGAATTGAACCCGCTTCGTATAGAACAACCGCCTTCAGATTTTATGGAGAGAATTTTTAGGGGTACCCAGACAATTTCTATACGACATGTGTACAGTGTTAATGCCCGTCTGTCACGTTTGATTTTGAAATGTAAAAAGGGGTGTAGTTGTCTAAAATACATGTACTGACCTTTACGCCGGTTGAGCTCATATAAATTTCCATTCAATTCCTGTTTCCCAATGTGTGTTTACATTTTAATTACCATTTTAATAATAACTTCGCTTATTTGTTGTACATGCCTCCAATAAATATTTCCGTTTTATACTGAAACTGAATGGAAATCTGTTGATATTGAACATTGCAGTTTTATAATAACAGAGTTAATGTAAACATTCTAAAATAATGACGTCGTTGATTTGTTATTTATTTAATTTTTCCAATTGGCCTATATAATATATTTACATATATAAAATTGAACGAATAGTGTCTTAGGCATCTGGGGACACATCAAAATGGAAAAGTAAATCGGTCCCAGGCCTAGGTCTTACCGTGCCACCTACGGTAATAGCTACTTTAGGGAAATTTGCTAAAACCATTAAATCTCATTGATAGTTCTATGAATATTAATTAATTACTAATTTTGATTTGTTTCTACAAACGTACAACAATCGACCAGAAAACATTGTTGTTTTAATCAGGAAATGCTGTTGAATTCTAGTTTAAAAACATTTTCATAGATGAATTCAAACTGTTCATAGAATGTAGGTAATTTAGTGGGTAATTAATAAACAATGGATAGAATCAATAACTAATGGTTAATGGATATTGCTAAAATAATTCACGTACCAACGCAAATGTATTCCAAGTAATACAGGTTAATCGACAAACAATACGAAATTGATATTATATTGATGAGTACACAATCATACTTTCATTTGAACGTATCGGCAAATAATACTTTGGAAATGAATTTACTGCTGTTTTGATTACCAAACTGATCAATACAGATTTTAAAACAGTTTAGTTCATTTACACTGATGACTGATGTATCTTTAGGTTGTTAAAATTTTTCTGAGGAAAAAAAAAACACACAAAGAAACACGTCGGATCTTAAGAAACACACTCGACATTAAATAAACCACACGCGAGATTTAAATGCATCTGGGGAAATCTTGGATGGGATAAATACTTCCCGGAGATCCTTTGCTAATGGTGAGTGAAGAAATATGCTTAACCGCAGTCAGAAAACTGTATAACTTACTTTGAACCAACTTTATATTATTTTTTGCCGAAACTGCAGGAATTTTAGTGACTTGTAGTGAATTTTCCAGAAATAGGGTTGCTATTCTGTTGAACCAAAAACATACCTTTTTAAGTTCCCTGAAGCAGGAAACCTATGTACTCGTTTAACCTAATGTTACTTGGTTAGGAAATGAATCTGACATATTTAAGGAATTTTAAAAGTGATAATAAAATCAGGCAAATTGAAATCTGCTTAGTCTGCAGGTTTCCTGCGCTGGGAGTATTAACACAAACACACAGTTTATGAACCACTCATATACCTGTGTTAGTGAGTGGTGTCTATATTCAGATAGTGTTAGATTGTATCTGTATGACATTGATGACGGTCACGGTCTTTAATCATTGGGATTTCCATTGATCATAGACTACAGAAACAGCTGATCTTCAGTAACAAAGATACACAGAACAATCACTGCATTTTACCATGGATAAAACCCTCCCTTAGTATAATGACATGACTCTACACTCACAGTCTTCGTAATTAAGTTAAAATATACACATAAATTACTATTCTGTCTTGGATAGATGAAAATCCAATAATCAATGATAATATAACCATTTACGTTGACTCAATAAAACATTAAATAATTAGATCAATGTAGTAAGCTTTAATTGCAAATTGACCTATGTAATATAAAATTTAGTACGTATTCGAGAAAATAACGTATAATTGGTTATTGGATTGAATTTTATTAATCACCCCACATGAAAGTGTTGAATAAAACCTGGCGATCGTTTGGTTAATTATTCTTGTTTTAAGCTTTAGCACAGTAATTAACCCGCAAAATGAGTTCCATCAGTAATTGCTGGTTATTACTTTTAATTGGCAGTTGAGAAAAACAGTAACATTTGTATAGTTGTGCTGGAATATGACGAATAGGTATATTTACTTGTTTAACATTTTCGTTACATGAATACGTAATAATGTTTTCAAATTTCTATATACATAAATCACTAAATGGGTGATGTAATATTTAGTATTTCGAGTTCCATATTTTTTTAATGAAAATTAATTTCATGCTAGTTTTTATAACTTGAGGATTTTACGCTTCTATAACAAATTATTTTTTTTAGCGTCAACAAAGTAAAAACATTGACAAAACATTCCTAGGTGGTGTAATAGTTAAAAGACAGATAACTCATTTTGGAACATTTGAAAATATTCAAAGGAAAATTGTTTTCTTTTATAGCTTGAAACCACTTAACAACTCTTACTTACAAAACGAGCCCACATTTCACCTACAGTTTACAACAATGTGTATTAATGTATACGTAAACGAGACCAACACTGGTTTATATTCCTTTGTCTTACACACCGAAGTTTCCGAACTCACATTTACATTCATTGCATGATTCAACGACAGAATTATGTTGTTCATAACGGTGATCGTTAATGTGTGGTTGAGTAAGAATTTATGTGGTTTTGAGCAAATAGTAGAATGTTCCAGAAATAAGTCAAACGACGTATCATAGTATGGTTAAAAATCATTTCCTAGATTAACCTAAACATATTCTATGTTTTTACTGATTATCATGTAAAACAGCTAATTGAGCTGTACAATAAACTAACTGTTACCCACGGGCTTCACCCCGTTTGACTTCATGAGTATTAATAAAACTATTGATTGGTTAAGTTAAGGTAAAAAAGAATACAGTAGTAGAAACAAATATTCACACCTGATTTTAATAAGGTAATAAATTGAAAGAATAACAAATAACAATAAGTACAGCTGAGATATTTTTAACATTAGGAATATGGAAAGTTCCCTTTAGAAATGAATTACTACCTTAAAGGACAATTTATGAAATAATGGATAGTTTTTCGCAAGAGTTTTCGTCATGACGAACTTTTAGTATATTGTTTTTGGGGGTGTGACTTTTAGTTTTCTCAAAAGTTCATGGGTACTTAGGGATTTATATGAGGATACTTGATAGATTTATAAATTTCAATTTTACAATGAATATTCGATAGATATAAAATGTTACCTATAATAGATTGAAAATTCTGTTAACATGTGTTAAATGATGTATGTATAACTGTGTTGTGATTAAATAGGCTGTGATTTAACAGCCTTTAATTTATCCTGTATGCCTTTTGGTGGAAGTTTAGCGAAAAATAACGTACGGGACTCAAGCTGGAAGGCGATTTTGTCGCATGAAATCCAAACTATCACGCGTAAACACCTATTTCTCAGCCTTGTGACGTAATATACTATTACCATTTTATCATCCGGTGATTGACAGTTGGTCGCTGGTCGAGACTTTCCCAAGCTAGAATGCAAATGTCTCCTATAAAGTTTACGATTCCGGTAACAGTTTGTCGCAAAATCCGCTACAACTGGTTCAGAGTTGACTACGGAGTGGGAAAGTGAAACACTTCGGGGTTTATACCTTTACAAGGTAGTTTGGAAAATTAGTGTTTTGGCAGATAATTGGATATTGTTAATGAGATCGTATAAGAAATTGATTTGTTAATTGGTGAGATATCATTCATATTTTGAGAATGGTAACGTATACTAAATGCAGTTGTTTAATATTTTTATCCTAAGTTCGTTAACTTAGATATTTATCAATGTTTTTTTTAGTAATAGTCCAAAACTTGTTCTAGTTACTATTTAACGTTACTATTTTTGGTACGCAGCCTCACTTCATTGACAGAAACAGAACATGAATAACTAACTGTTTTGATACATTTCTAATTTTTGCAATTCATCTTCGATCTTTCCATCGATTTATAATATTTATTGATAACTTAAATACAGATTGTTGCAGTATTTTGTATTGATAGTAAAAAATGTGTTCTTAAAAAAATATTGAATGACTACGATGGTAATTGGGTATTTTGCTAATAGCCCTAGTGTTTTGGATTTCAGTGTGAGAGGGCGAGTTCAATACAATTAAAGCACAGACAATTTATTACAGTATTATATTGTCTGTGATTAAAGTGTTTACATAGCTTTTTATACATTAATCCACCGGTTTAAACAACAACAAATTGTTGAAAGGTAATATTAATGTTTGTAGTTTGATTAGTCATTCATATTGTTTTGCCACATCTATGTAACATATTCCAGACATAGGAAAACATAGCTTTAGCCATGCTAATTGAAACCTAACAACAAATAAAATACAGGGATAGATACCTTAGATTTCATTAATAGTTCTTGAGATAAAAATCTCAAACAAACACGAATGGTGGATATCTCGCTAACAAAAGCTTGATTTTCGTTTTATTTAGACCCAATAAACCTATTCCTGAATTCTTTGTACTTACGGGACACCCTGTTTATGGAGTGCCCTGTCACGACAATTAAGTAATAAAACGATTCTGTATTATAATTTCGTCTAGCACTATCAATTAACGCAGGTCATGAAATAGTAAAATATGTGTTGGCGATTTCGCTGCTATTTTAATAATTAATCCGTAACGATGCTTTTATTTTAAATCAACAAAACAAAACCCGATGT